AGTTAAAATAAAAATTTATAGGATTTTAATTCGATTTTTCGGGTTGATTAACTCAATTAAAATCCTTAATTTAGTAAAATAATAACTAATTAAAATCTCAGTTAAAGTAGAAATTTATAGGAATTTTAATTCTAATTTTTGGGTTAAATAACTCAGTTAAAGTCCTTAATTCAGTTTAGTTAATAACTAAATTAATTCGCAGTTAAAAGTATTGTAAATATCATTAAAAAATTTTAATTACCTTTTCTGAGGGCTTAATAATTCAATTAAAATCCTTTATTAAGTTTAAAAAATATTTGATTAATTCGCAGTTAATAGTATTTTACATACTACAGAAATTTATAGGATTTAACCGGAACAGTATTAAATCATTTAAGTTATTTCTTGTCTAAATTAAGGAATTTAATTAGATTATTTAACACATAAAAAACGAATTAAAATCCTATAAATTTTTATGGTATTTTAATGACTTATAACTACGAATTAATTAGATATTTCTAAACTTAATTAAGGATTTTAATTGAATTATTTAACCTTAATAAGCGAATTAAATATTCTAAAAATGCTTTAAAAACTATAAAAATTTACAGAATTTTAATTTTTGGATGGAATTAAATAATGCAATTAAAATCCTTAATTTCCTCAAATTAAAATAGGGATTACTTTTAGTTAAATGACACGCATAAACGTATAGAAAAAATTGACTAAAGGTAAATTAAAAACACAACAGTTAAATTTAAATGCGAATAACTCCTAATTGAATTTACAAGAAAATTTTAATTTTAATTAATTTTGGTTAATTATAATTATAATTTTAAAAAGAATTTAAGATTACCGTATTATTATTTAATTTTTAAGCAGTAAAACGGAATTAAAATCCACACTTCTGTACGAATAATGTGTGTCTGTGTGTGTTTAAGTGTAATTTTCTCAGTGTCTGTATGGCTGTCTGTTACACTCTTAAGTCTGGAGAATTAATCATCGAAAGAAAATGTAGTTAATGGCATTTTGTTTCCACACGAAATCATTTGGGGAAAACTATATTTATATTCTTAAACGTAAAAAAAAAAAACACAATAAAACAGAAAAAATTAACAAGTCGCATTGTTTTAAGACAATTGAAAACATTGTGTACTGTAACTTATATTATTTAAAAAGGTGAGCATTATTACTATAGAAATTTTAAAAATTTAAATTAGTCGCTCGTGCTTTAATACAATTGTGACGACATTTTTACAATTGTTAATGTATCAATAATTATAATTGAGTTTGAATACAATCGAACCTCCGATTACGAACAAAAAATGCATACAAAATAACCTCCAAATAGTTGCTATTTTTGTGTTTCCTTCATTGTCCGCTGTTCAGAGGTTCGACTGTATATTTAATCGTTAGATTTATGACAATTTTTATGATTATAATGTTACAAAATACAGTTCATTTCATGTTATACAGTATGTCTGTCTGTCACGCTCAATACTTAAAACACTATCTAAAGCAATAAAGTGTGGTCGCACGCAGCTAGTTAGAAAAACATAACTGTTACATACGTCTGAAATAGGCGAGATGGAGCCCACTTCAGTCACAAATTTGGGGCCTTCAAAGCAAAATTTCTACTAACTCTCAAGAGAAATTTTAATTTATATTGCTTTCGTGTCATGTTTTATGCATTAATAAAAACCTAAATTTTGGGGCCCGGTCATAGAGGGGTCTAAAGTTTAGTCGGAATTGTAATTCAAATCATTTTAATGGCTTTTTTTTTTAATTTTAAGGCCTTTCTGTTTCCAGAACTCACACTAAATGGCTTGTACGAATCACTTCCGTATAATTTTATGTTTTTAAAAAGAGTACATTTTAGGGCCTTCTGTGTAAGAGGCCCTAAAATTTCTGCTCTGTTGGCATCTATTCTACCCGTCTCTGTACGTGAATTTTAATTTATATCATTTTAATACTGTATTTTTAACATTAAATATTAAATTTTAGGGCCTCTTCGTATCCGGAACTCCTACCAAATGGCCCTCCTGATATCCTTTATATCCGGGCCTGTACGAATTTCAATTTATATCACTTCTGTATCATTTTCCTTTTTTAAAAAAGGAGTAAATTTTAGGGCCTTCTGTGTAAGAGGCCCTAAAATTTCTGCTCTGCTGGCATCTATTCTATTCGTCCCTGTACGTGAATTTTAATTTATATCGTTTTAATTTCGTGTTTTTTAACATTAAATGTTAAATTTTGGGGCCTCTTTGTATCCGGAACTCCCCAATTGATATCATCTGTATCCGGGCCTGGACTAATTTGAATTTGTATCACTTTCTTATCAATTTTCCCCACCAAAAACAACTACATTTTGGGCCCCTTTGTATCCGGTCCCCAGGCCAAATGGCCCTATAAGAGTCCCCTATACGAATTTAACATAACATTCGACTGTCAAATGGCCTTAAATTAATCAGGAAGCGAAAACGCGTCCGTGTTGCCGGTTCCATTGTCAACGACATCTCTGGCAAGTTTTTATTTTGTTATTTATCACTTGTAAACTTAATTTTAAAATATTTTTATTACTTTAAACACGTTTTTATTGTCATTAATAGTGTTAAATTGTAAGAAAAAAAATTTTAAAAATCATCTAATAATGTCCGTTTTAAAGAGGTGACGAAGCAAATTTTCCATTAAACATGACCTTAAAACACGACAAAAATATTTAGAAAAATTGATAATAAAAAGTGTAAAAAGTCCAAACTTCTATAACGGTCACCTGTATATTGCGGACTTTGCGACGATTTTTGAATAAAAATACATACAAAATAACCTTCGAGCAATATCCATTTCTACCTCTCCACAAGGCCATTTTCCGGGAACTTTCTTAACATAAATTATATTTTAAAAACCTCTAAACAACGGACATCTCCGATTAACGGTCACTTGTACATGGCGGCCATTTTTTCGGACTTGGACTTCTCAAATTTTTTTTTATAACGAAAATTGTATGCAAAGTAACCTCCGAACAACGATGACTTCTCATTAACGGTCATATGTAAACGGCGGACATTTTTCAAACGAATAGGCATACAAAATAACCTCTAAACAACGGCCACCTCTCAGTAACGGTCACTTCTAAGCAGCGGCACTGTTTTTTTTTGCAACGCATACAGACTAACCTTCAAATAGCGGCCATTTTTCAAAGTTGAGTGTCCGCTGTACAAAGGTTTTACTGCGTCAAGTTAAAAATAATTTGAGAAAGAATAAATAAGTATTTAATGTTACATAAGGTAGAGGCAGGCATAGAGTTCAGATCATTCTTTCTACCTTTATTTTATCTTATACAGCCACCCTTGTAAACAGATTCTACCCAGTCAATTACCAATATTTTCTTTAATGTCAATTTTTAACCAATAAGCAACTAGGTAAGTTAAAAAAATTAAAAAAAAAATATTATCTGTATTATTATGTATGATGTAATCCTTATCTATCCTTCTTTTGTAAAGAATAAGGACTGAAGAGGAGTCATTAAGATCCAAAATGCATTCCACCATCAATAAAGCCTATATTAATAACTGCTCCTTGTATGATATGATACTGAAAAAAAGCTAATAGCTTTTAATTCTGTAAAATCCAATTTTATTATAGATTTATTTATTTACTTATTTTTTAATTTATNCATATAATAATTCAAAGACAATGTAAGATATTTTAGAATGAAAATTTAAATTATGAACTCGTTGACAGTGCTGCCAGTTTAGAAATTAATCTCGAATTAGTATCCGGATCTTCGGTAAATTTGACAAACCAACAATGTATTATTAACAAAACAACAACAATAAGCATTTATTTATTATCTTTGCCAACAGATGATGCTGCATGTAAAGGGGGCGGAATCTATACACTACCCCAATATTTTGGGGTAATATATAGCATAGCACTGATTGAAGTATCTAAGTAAATACTCATACAAACTTTGGTCCAGATCGGTTTAAGAATAAAGATTTGTATAAAGGACAAACTAGATTATTATTAACCATTTATGCTGCTGATGTTAAATGTTTGTTTACAACCTTGCACTTATAGAAATCAGCATAGTCAATCTGAGGGTTCCGAGTTCGAATTCAAACCAGGTCCTCAGAAATTCTCATCATTGGTTTGATTCAGATACAGTATATCGATCCCGTTCCTCATTACTCGGCCTTCCCATTTTAAGCATGACTTGATAAAAGTCGTGCCAGCAATGGGAAGGCCGATTACACAATGAACTTCATACAAAGGCCCTATTATTAGTGCCTTCAGAATAAAAAGAGTAAAAAAAAACTGCTTTTAAAACTGGACTGTTGTGATCAGAATAACAATATAACCTGCATTGAAACCGGATAGGCCCATATGCCGGCATATTTAGGCTATTATATGAAAATATACGGGGTGAGAAATAAAGTCACTTAACACCGTTGCTACAGAATATAGAATGTATGCCCAAAGATAATTCGCTTGTGCCAGGAACACATTAGACCAAGGGGTAAACAGATTGATATGTGTTACACGCGCGGTCGCCATCTTGATGTCGGCCATATTGAATGCAACTCCGAAACTGTAAATGGGAAGCGGGTCATCTGACATATCATTTAGGGTCAGAATTTCACAAGAAATTGATCACCGAAAGATTTTCTCTATCCCAAACATTTCAATTGTCAACTCATTACTACTCGAATTTGATGTACCAGGTTTTTGTGTGTTTCGCGAATAGGACCGGCCCGAGAGTTAAAGGGCGCCCCCTAATTTTTTTCGTCCTAGGCGACGCCTAGTGAGCTTTATAACTCGGGCCGGTCCCCGCTCCTGCAGAATCTTTAAAATCTCCTAACAGTTAAACAAAATCAACATAATTTGTTTTCATTTGATATTATTTAATTGTTTACTTAAATAATTAAATTAAACCCGGGTTTATTCCAAAGTTTCCGACTAGCGAGTGATTTATGACCCATTTTAAACTGGCAGCACTGCACACGATCCAAATTCAAATTAGAATTCAAAATGTCAGCGTTGGTTGTCGCGCTAAGGAATAAAGTCTTCAATTTTAGTAGAGTTTTGACCGAAATTAGGTATTGACAGTCGTATTTATTAATCACAAGTGATATATACATACTTTAATTGTAATTTACGCTAATTATAATAAATTTTGATATAAGACACATGTAAAGTTAAATTTGATATGTTCCTGTACAGTAGAACCTCGAAAACTCGGCTCTCGATAACCCGGCAGTCCGGATAACTCGGCCACACCCTGGCAGGGCAAAAAAATCCTTAGTTAATTAATTTTCATTATAGACAGCTTTATAAAAGTATAAAAGCTCTCATAAAGTATTTTTCTGAGGTCTGTCTTATCAGGTAAATTACTGTACACAGTGTATTCATTAATTTTCATTTTCATGTAGTAAAGGCTCTATGCCTTCATAAAGGACGTACTTTTCCTTTGTTTAAGGGTATTTGGGCAGTTTATTCTCTGTTGTATTCTCAAGCAAACAATACATACGAGTACAGTACAGTATTTTCTGAGGAAACACGCATACTTATCCTTTTCTAACCCCATTCCTGATAACCCGGCATTTTCACAAACTCGGCCACCCTTCGGTCCACATTAGGCCGAGTTTTCGAGGTTCTACTGTATACTGTGCACCGTCACGCACGTTATAAACTAACCTAACCTATTCTAATAAATTACTAGTGTAAGAAAGATGTAAAATAACTCAAAAAATTAATCATAAGAAAGGAAAATTTTGGTAATTAGAATAGGTTAGGTTAGAACGTGCACCGTCATGGCGGATCTTTCCTTTCTTCTGTTTACTGGAATCAGAGAACAGTGGTGACGTACATTCTAACCTAACCTAACCTATAAATTAGAATAGGTTAGGTTGCATCCCCACTGTTCCCTGACTGCATCGAACAGAGAGCTGTCATGACAGTGCACATAGGTAAAGATTAAGTTACTTTCCATACGTTTCTATATTCAACGGTGAGAAAACGACATTTCTAAATGGACCGTTGAGTTCTCCGTTGAGACTAGTCGGCAGCAATGCGCTACCGTTGAGCTCAACGGTCTCAATGACCTGAAAGACCATTGAGTATTTAACAAACTAACATGACAGCTTCCATGAAAAAGTAAATTTTGTGTATAGAAACTGTCCATTTGCTCTTGCTGTGGATGCTGTAATAGCGGACACATTAATGAACAATCTGTATATAATAAAACATGTGATTGCACGATTATGTTGGATAATTTGGTCAATATTGAAATATTAAGATTTTTTTCATAAACATCGGTCGTAATCAATTTTGGACAAATTCGTGGAGATAACTGTGGGAAGTATGCTCAATATTGCGAGAGATTCGTGCAACTTGTTTTTTGTGTAAACTCCAACAGCCCGTGACAAAACCCAACAAATGTTACTGCATCAAAACTCCCAGAAAATGTTGCCTGTGAAAAAGTTGCATCAGATATTTGGCCCTCTTTAAGTCTTCCTAATGATATAAATATAAGAAATTAAAATTATTAAAGACCCAGTATACAAGAAAATGTTACAGATAAGGGTTCATTTGAATAGAAGGATTTATTTGAATAATGATTAAGCGAGTTACTTTAATTATTTAGCAAAACAGTCACAATCGTTGCCTTCTCCTGAATTAAGTCAGTCATTATGAAAAGTACCCTTTCAACGGAAACATTTCTTTTTTTCTACAGAACATGATGTCAGATCATTCACAGAGGGACTCAACGGAAAATTCACTGTTAAGTCAACCATTGAATATAGAAACATAAGGTCTTAGATAAATATTAGCTGCTTGTGCCTGGTGTTGCTTGGGCTTTTGAGGTGGAATTAGTCCTTACTAATCCCCCTCAAAAGAGATAGAGTTGGAAGAAGGTGAAAAAAACAATGGTCTTAGTAACTAAAATGTACATTTGTTGACTTCAGTATTAACAATATTTAAACTGCAAAGCACACAAAAATTGTTCGGGCTAAAGTTAACGGGGAGTGAGATCATGGCATATTTGTCCATGGACTTAATGTTGCACCTTTGCTGCTTTGCCATGCCTGAACCTTGAATCTCTCTTCAGCAACGTTATCTTTGGCAGTGATTACCGAAGTTTTTTGAGTCGCTGCCATCTTGGTTCCCTAAACTTATACCTGATGCCTCCAACTTGTTTTCCCTCGCATGAAAAAGGCTTGGAAATATTCTTAGAAAAACTTTTCTACAACTCTTGCACTACTGTACATTCTTCTCTGTATCTGGAAACCACCAACTCTTGACTATAGTAGTTGTTCGGTCGAAACCCCAACTCCAGCCTCCTTTGTTGTCCTTGCTTCTTTTTGCCCCTCTAGGTTTACTTGCTGCCCCCAGAGGATGGTAGTGCTCACTTTGGAAATCGCTGATCTATGGGATGAGAGCTTTAATTTTATCCTCGAACCATATTTTTATCTTTCAGCTGTTTACTCGAATTAAGCCAGACAAATTGAAACCCTCTTTCAATTAATATACAGTAGATCCCCCTATAAGACGGTAGATACGTTCCGTTCTTTATGAATCAATTTTGTAGGAATCATAGTTTACGGACTACGGCTGTTTGAAAGGTTTTCTTTCATAAAATTAATCGATTCTAGACTAATTCGACTCAACATTTCCAAAATACGTATATTTTTTTGAAAATAATCCGTATAAACTACGTTATAAACAAAAAATTGTAGGATTGCTTACCGAGTGTGTACCGTTCGACTACGCCCGTTGCTAAAGCTTGGTTTCGTCGCGGAACAGCGCATCAAACCGCGGCCGCGATTTCTGATATTATTTTTCTGCGAAAACTTCGTTGACCTTTGGAGACATCCTTAATATAAATAATTTTTATGGCCGTTAAATAAGAAATGTTTCTTTCACAAGAAATGTATAAAATTACAGTACTGTATTAGACTTACGGTACCTAATTTACATACTGTACAGACGATAGTAAACTCAACTTACTCGCCTAAACTCTCTGTAGCGTGGCGCTGGACGGCGGAAAGTATATATATAATTATAATAAAGTTACAATAAATTAAGTTAATATATAATTATATGTACAGTACCTAATTTATATATAATTAATATATAATTATATGTACAGTACCTAATTTATATATAATTATATGAACAGACGATACTAAACTCAATTTATCCGCCTAAACGTCCGTAGCGTGGCGCTACGGACGGCGGGAAAGTAGTTCGGCTGCCCGATGACGTTTTACGTATTATAGGAGTTATTTTTACCGTTGTTTACGAATACTGCCACAATTTTTATAGGAATCGGTTTTATAGGTGGATCTACTGTATGTGGATTGCACGTATCGCAGATGAATGGATTTAAATAAATTATGCTTTGATTCTTTACCAATGAATCAAAACATTTAAATTTATTTCTTACAGGTTATTGAATTTTTTACAACTGACATTTGTGAAATTTTCAACTATAAAATAAATTTCAAACAATTTAAATTGGTTCCACCAGTGATTAAGTGGATAAAACCTCTGAACATTGGTATAGGGTTTCCACTTGTGCCACTAGTCAAATCCTTTCTGCAATTAAAACTTTGTCTAACAAAAAACTAGTAAACAAATAATTAATTTCATTCTCTCCTAATGCAGATTTTTAAGAAAAAACATTTGAATATATTTGGGATCTGGTCCTCCTGTTCCTTGTTGCAAATTCAACCAGAAGGACCAAAGAGCACTGTTTTTATATATTGGAGGTGTTCACGGTATTAAATTTATTTTTTCTTTGCATTATATTTTAGATCTCGAGTATTCTTGGACAGTGTTTGCCAATCTCTGATTTTCTCAAACGGCATCATTCGGTCTTACCCAAACGTTTTGATTAATAAATTTAGCAAGATTCTGAAAATAAGCAAAATCTGACATACTGAATTTAAAATATCTTAATATGATTTGAAATATAATAAATTAGCAAGAAACTTTTACATAGTAGTCCTCCCAGGGGCACTCCTCCTTTGCAGATTGCCCATATGTTACATTTCCTTATCCCATTAGACCAAACTAAATTAAAATGATTTTTACATAAAATAACAGAGTGGTAACTAGCATTCAGTAATTTACATTGTTGTAAAAGTTACTTAATAAAACATTTAAATTTATTTTAGAAATATTTCTTTTGAGTCCTCGTCAGATAATGCCGACGTTCCTCCTCGTCCAAAGAGACCTTTATCGTCTTTTATGCTGTTTATTAAAGAGAAGAGAAATGAAATGTTTGGCGATTATTCAAGTAAGTACTGTCATTTGCATTACCTTTGTATAACCAAGAACCAAATCTCATTTATATTGTAAATTAAAAAATACTACACTAAATACTCTTTTGGCATATTTTGATATTTCTATATTCTGTTATATCTAAATATGAACATTTAGTAACCCAATTGATTAATGTTAAACAATGTGCTGTTCTATGGGGCTATAATATGGCAACTAATAATTAATATTAAGCAATTTGACCTAAAGGTAAACAATAGATGTCAACTTGAAACGTTGAATGGCACGTTGTTTGGCATTCTGTAATATCGGGTAAAAATGGCATATTATCTTGGAAATTACTAATATATTGCCGTAGATTGCCTTCTTTTTAAATTACAAATATCGTATAATTAATTTCCATTATATTTTTACTATAATGAAAAAAAGCACTTCAAAATGAATATAGATATTAACAGAATATTATATTACAGATATTAATATTAAGTTTGTAGAAGTTGTTTAATTAAAGTAATGATGAAAAAATAAATAAATACGCTAAAATTTTTGTCTCGGTGGCTGACTTTGGACATTCAGAAAATAACATTCAAGTATTTTTTCTGTGTCAGAAGAGAGAAACATTATGTACTTATTTATTTATCTGTCCATATTTTTATTAAGGAATTAAATAATTTGCATACTTTATATTAATATGAAAAATATTACTTTATTCTGTTTTCACCAGTTATGGAATTTGGGTCAGTTGCTGTCAGATTTGTCAGTATAAACAGCACCTGTCTGATCCCAATACAGATCATCTCTCTGCAATTAGTGATCTTCTCTCTAAGACAGTGTGCTGAAAGCCAAATAAGATGCTCAAATTTAAAAAAATAATAATTATCGGAAAGAATTAATGAGTTATCTGCTAAATACGTTTCTGATTATAACTGTTAAAAGTATTATGAGTAAGATAATTACTTCTATAAATAATGTAAAATTATCATCATTGACTAAATAATTGAAGTTTTATGTTAAAAATTTTGTAAAAATATTCATCCAAAAAATTACGCTTGTTATTTGTAATAAAACTGAAGCTGTGAAATTGTTTGCGGAAAATAATTTTCTTTTTTATAAGTAAATTTATATTAAAAAACTTAAAAACATCTGATTTTTCTGTTTTCAAAGTTTAAGACCATTTACTTTAAAATAAAACAATTGTTACATGAACATATCTTTTCTGGATTTACAAGCTCCGGAGGCTCTTTGCTGCAAATGGAATTCATCACCACCCTTATTTGTTGTGAGCTATGAATCTCCGGTTATTAATGCACAGGAAAATCTCAGAACTCCTAGAGTTCTGAGATTTTCCTGTGCATTGTCCCTCTGTTTCTGCAAGCAATCTCAAGTTCCAACAGAATCTCTTTTTGACTCTTCACTGGTTGTTTGTTCTTGATATGTCTGAAATGCTAGTTTAATGATGCTTATTAAATTCATGTAGGTGTTTTATAAAGTTTAATTACAGCTAATTAAATAAATTTCATTTAGAATATAAAAAAAATTGATGTAGAAGTTATTTCTAATGGAAAGAGTCAGAGAGAAAATAATAGTTAAATTGTAATAATATGAAGATGATTATTATAATATACAAATGGGATCAAATTAATAATTGTTTTATTTGAAGTAGCTTTTTAATATACTTGAAACAAGCTGATGATGAACTGAGACAGTATGAAAAGTTTCTAATAATACCCATTAAAAGAAAAATTATTTTTATCCAATTATAAAATTTATGTAGGGCTGTCCACTAATTACGTGTACAGATGTGAGCTACGGACCCTCTCTTTTGTGTATGACTGTATACAGTACTTTTGACAAGCCCTAGGCTGACTCACTTTTACTCTGAGATGTGGACTAATACCATACACGATGCCTCAACCTCCTCATTGCTCAACCTTATTTCCTCCCCACTGAATATAATAATATATTTTTCACAATCCCTCTCCCTTCAACTGTATATGTAATTAATGAACAACCCAATATGCTTAGATAAGAATTGTATATGTAAATTCTTACATCTCATATTTTTAAGAAGACTGATATTCGTAAATTTAATCCAATATCCAATTGGATTAAATTTACAAACGGATAGTATACTATCCATTTTATCATTCTGTTGGTACATATTAACTTCTTTTGCAACTTGTTGGGGAGTTCCTATTGATTTTGATTTTAGTCATTTAAAAACAGTGTTAAAAAATTATAACTTTTACTTTAATTTTTTTATGAATAAAATAATAATAAAAACTAATAGAAAAATTTTTCAGAAGTCAGACCTGTGGATCAAGTAAAAATTTTAAGTGAGAAGTGGAGATCTTTAACTCATGTTGAAAAACAGGTGCGTTTACAAATTTTGAATGCTATAATTAAAAGCTTTTGTATTTTTTTTATGTACAGTTGACCCCCCTATAACGCAGTAGATACGTTCCGCTTTATAAGAATTTCGCGTTGTAGGAATCCTTAAATATATGAGCCAATCACAGCCCGGCACATGTGCAGTTTACAGACTATGGCTGTTTGAAAGGTTTTCTTCCATAAAATGAATCGATTCTAGACTAATTCGACTCAACATTTCCAAAACACGTATAATTTTTTGGGAATAATCCGTATAAATTATGCTATAAACAAAAAATTGTAGGATTATTTACCGAGTGTGCACCATTCGATGACGCCATTGCTTAAGCTTGTTTTCATCGTGGAGCAGCACACCAAATGGCGGGCGCATTTTCTGATAAGTTATTTTTCTGCAAAAAATTTGTTGAAATTTGGAGACATCATTAATAGAAATAATTTTTATCTCTATAGCGTGTAAGTAGTTTGGCTGCTCATCCACTATTGGTCCAGATTCGACCAATCCTGTCGTGACACGAGTCTGCGATGACATTTTACCGCATTTTACGAGTCTCTTTTAGCATCTTTATATGAATGCAGTCGCAATTTTTTTGCCACGATATACAAATCCACATTATATGAACCCACATTATAGGGGGGGTCTACTGTACAGTATCTCTCAAAAAAGGATGTTATTATTTTAAATTACTGTAATTATTCTCTTACTTCATTTTTAATTTGTAAACCAAAAAATTGGTTTACAAATTAAGAAATTAAATTACAAACCAAAACTATTTGGTTTGTAATTTGGGCTTCCCTTGACAGCGTTATGCTGGAATGTTCTTGACAATGAATGTCCACTTTATAAGAACAAACCATAGTGTCACCCCAAGTTTTGACTAGTGTTTAATTGTTAAGGTGTTCAGATACCACTTGATAGCCACATCCATTATGTATATACTCATGTTATACTGAAGAGTAATCACTAAAATGTAGTGATTTGAAATGCATGTATACTACAATGTGAATAAATAATGTTACAAATACTTTTGTAGCTAATTTAGATACTGTGATTCCAGATAATTGAATATTGTACCAATTTTTTGGTTTACAAATTAAGAAAGATATGAGAGAATCACTTATACCTCAAATCCCAGTAAAATAATTAATACTGTAGTTATGTTAATTATTACCTGAAAATGTTTAAATGTACATTAAAACATTGGAAAACCGTCCAAGTTTTACATTTGTCCATTACAATTATAATTTCTTACTGTGTGCACCTCGTGTCATACAGCACACATTTGACCAATACCCAAATTCTCCCTATGCTTGCTATGGCATATCCATTGTCACTCCTCCCACAGCAGCCACAATTCTATGGCTCCTGCAAATTACTCCTTTTAAACAATGATGTGTGATTCCAACTTTGCAAACTGCAGAATACACAACACCATCTGTTACAAAGTCGTCATTTTCATTTACCGCCTTTCCTATAGGTAGTAGATGATGAGACATTTTAATGCAGAGGAGAGACAAAACTTGGACAATAACTCTATTGTTAAGTGTACACCACATACTTATCAGGTAATAATATAATTACATTATTTATTGTTATAGCTTAAACCAGGCTTAAACTTTAAAAGCTAAAAATATTCATTTTGCTTTTACTCCTTTATCTGCTTTAATCAGAGACAAAGAACTTGTGCCAAGGAAAAACCCAAGCAATGCATTTTGGGTAAATGTTTTATCATACTTAATTCAGGCTAAAAATAAAAAACACTATTTAGATTTTACAAATAATATAAAAAAGAGTTTATAAAACTGACCTTTATCTTTAATACTGTACAAAGTAAATAAAACAATTTATGAACTTCCTGCTGGTTTTACGTTATCAATTGACTGACAATGATTTTGTGAGCTTTATTCTGCATGATATTCATCCACGTGCCCTCCATCTCCATTCCATTATTAAATTTGTGGTATCATCTGCATGTATAATTGCCACCTACTCTTTAAATCTATACAAGTACAAATCCTCCTTTTATAGAGGATTTTAACTTCATTTTTATTAACAACACATCCAAATTCTTGAACCATGGAGAATGGTTATATTGTAGTTTAATCGCTGCTTTATGTTTTCAAATCCTAATGCACAGCTGTCTCCCTGTTTCCTCTATATCGGGGGTCAAAATCCTATGGCATGTGGGACAATTTTCAGCAGCACTCTGATTGAATAGAAATGTAGTAAAAGTATTAAAAGTACACATTTAAATGGAAGCCATAGTTCAGTGTAGGCCATGATACATTAAAAACCAATCTCTTGCTTGTATATTTATATTACAGCACAATTGTTTACGCACTATGTGTTGTGCATGTGCTTCATATATAAGAACATAATTTAATTAACAATGTAACTTTAAAATTATATATTTTTGAAGTCCATTATAATTGATTCAACCCATTTTGTTAATATAACAAAATTGGTAAAATCATGTCAGCACCTAAAATAATACTATAACTTAGGTTCAGTACAACACCGCCAAAAGGTAGCCAACCTCTGCTCTACATGATTAACTGGATTTATGTATGTACAGTTTAGTTTATACTCCAGTCTCCTCCAAATTATTTTTGTTCCTATATTTAACATTAAACTTATTTTTATTGTATTCTGTTATCTATTTTTGTAATAATCTGTGGGGTAGTAAGTTCTTTGTTTTTGATTAAAGCAGATAAAGGAGTAAAAATGAAATGAATATTTTTAGTTTTTAAAGTTTTAAACTTGGTTTAAGCTATAACAACAAATAACATTATATTTTATGAAGAAATATTTACAGTAATTTAAAGCAATAGCATTCTTTTTATAAAATCCTGTACAAAAACACAATACGACTGTTATCTGTTAAGATTTTGAAATTTGTTACAGAGTGCTCTAAACATCAATCATAGACAATCAAAGAATCTCATTTTTAATATATTTTTTTTAACTTTTTAGTAGAAAAATGAAATAGTTTTTTCTGCTTGTTAGAAGTATATATGTGATGTTCGTTGAATATTGTACATCCAATTTATATCGGTAGCATTTATTGCGAGTAAATTTTGACCTAGCAGTTATAATAAACTGAAAATGTAGGGAAAACACACAAACTTTTAAAAAACATTAAAAAGATGAAAACAGCATATCATGGTTACATCTTACACAGTAGTAAATATGCTTAGCCCAACTTACAATTCAAGAAAATAAGTAAGGTGTAGAATAAAATGGTTAGATAACATCAAAATGAAGAATGAACTGTTCCTTAATACTGCAAAAGATAAAGAAAAGTGGTAAAATGGTAACCAACCTCCAATAGGAGATCGCACTCCAAGAAGAAGATAGTAAAAAATAAACAAGATCGTATAACCTGCTGAGTACTGGTCGAATTCTTCTAATGCCCCGCTTCGAGCATGTGTTTTATAGATTCGCCACCATATCTGGGTTAATCTATTAATATTGAAAGTGTTATTAATGCTGTAAAATGTATACTTTTACAAACTTTAATTGTTTTTATATGAAAGGGAACGACTGTGATTTTTCTATTGCCCTAAATAGAAATAAAACCATAATACAGTCGACCCCCCCTATAAGACAGTAGATACGTTCCATTCTTTAGGAATCTGATTTCTTACGAGTCCTTCCAATCACAGCCCGACACGTGTGAAGTTTACGGACTAAGGCTGTTTGAAAGGTTTTCTTCTATAAAATTAACCGATTCTAGACTAATTCGACTCAACATTTCCAAAACACGTATAATTTTTTGGGAATAATCCGTATAAACTATGCTATAAACAAAAAATTGTAGGATTACTTACCGAGTGTGCACCGTTCGACTACGCCGTTGCTTAAGCTTGTTTTCGTCGCGGAGCAGCGCACCAAACGGCGGCCGCGATTTCTGATAAGTTATTTTTCTGCGAAAAATTCGTTGAACTTTGGAGACATCATTAATATAAATAATTTTTATGGCCGTTGAATAAGAAGTGTTTCTTTCACAAGAAATGTATAAAATTACAATACTGTATTAGACTTACGGTACCTAATTTACATACTGTACAGACGATAGTTCGCCTAAACTCTCCATAGCGTGGTGCCAGGCGGCGGAAAATATATATATAATTATAATAAGGTTACAATAAATTAAGTTAATATATAATTATATATACAATACCTAATTTATATATAATTAATATATAATTATATGTACAGTACCTAATTTATATATAATACTGTACAGACGATAGTAATCTCTTCGTAGCGTGGCGCTTGACGGCGTGGAAAGTAGTTCGGCTGCCTGATGACGTTTTACGTAATTATAGGAGTTTTTTTACCGTTTTTTACGGATACCGTCGCAATTTTTTCGCAGTTTTATAGGAATCGTAATTATAGGAACCCGTTTTATAGGGGGGTCTACTGTAGTGTATAGCCAACATTAGTTTGCATCTCTAAGTCTCTTTTTTCTAAGAAATCATTACTAATGATTTTTAATGTCTTCTGTGTAGTACTATATCATTGTAATTGCAGGTTAATAGCACGAAAACTTTTTAATTTTTAAATTACTTTCTAAAATACTTTGACCTGTTAAATTCATCTTCAAAAGCTAAAAATTATTTATGTCTATACAGACATAGGTATATTAATTTCAGTTTTATTCCCTGAAGGATGGACGTAACAGATCAAAATTATTAGTGTTTGATTCCAATAAAACATTTTTTTTTTTTTTTTGCTTTACTTGAATACTATACTTACTTATATAATTATGTTTATCTGTTTAGATTTATACCGATAAGTACCGAGAAAGTGTAAAAGAGTATACGAAACAGAATGAAGCATATATGAATTCATTAACTAAAGAACAACGTCAAGCTATTCTGGACGAGTTACGAATCAGGAAAGAACAACTTCGCCAAAGACGCTTTAAATCTGTGAGTGAAGTTTGTATATATAGTTGAACATCAATATAGTGTTTTCTTTAATAACACCATTCTCATATAGTGCTACAGAGAGGTTCTGACAATGTCTTCCTCTATGGCTTCGTTCCAGATGAATATTCTTCTGGCTCAAACTCCAGCCAAAAATTTAACTTTTAAATGACACTGTTAATTTCTTTATTTATAATGTTTTTCATCACTTCATATAAATTTTACCTAAACAATATAAATAAATCTTTTGATCACACGTTGACCACAGTGGCCAAACTGTGGCTTCCATCTACATACACAATTTCGTTTTATAAACTCAGTATGTACTACATACACCTATATATTTTCATAAGTTTTCTATTATGTAGTATGATATATGCACAGATTGTAAGCATAAATTTCAACTTGAAGAAACTGCAAAGTGTGGAGCTGGAGCCAAGAATTTTTTAAAGAGTATATGGCTCCAGACTCTGGCTCCAAAGCCCAACTTTCATAAAACACCAATGAATATTTGTGTGCGAATCTTTTATATATATTAAACAGAGTATTTCAGTATCTGTGCAATACAGTAAAACCTGTCTATGGTGACCACCCACGGTTCCTTCAAAAAGTGGTCTTTTAGACAGTTGGTCATCCAATACAGGTGGTGCTGTAATACTGTATTTCCGTATGTATTTTGCACACTTTTTAGCCATTTCTACTATGCAAAACTTGAGGTGAGCAAAAATAAGTACAGGTAACCCCCGTATAACACGGCACTTCTATAGCACGGATTCACTCTAACACGGTTCGAGAATTGGTACCATCCCCTGTATAACACGGCACTTCTATAGCACGGATTCACTCTAACATGGTTTGGGAATTGGTACCATCCCCCGTATAACACGGTACTTTTATAGCGTGGATTCACTCTGACACGGTTCGAGAATTGGGTAAAATCCTCGTACAACAGGAAATGTAATAAATTTTTACATACTTAAGTAATAATAGTTCATGAAAATTATTATTTTCGTGAACTATTAGTACTTAAGTATGTAAATTTTCTCTTCTCGCCTTCTGTCGATACACGTGGTCCNCGTGAACCCACGACCAACTACCACTGTTTACTGGTTTTATCCCTCGGCCACTTAGTAATAAATCTGATTTTGACAATTTATTAGAAAATGAGCGGTTTTGAAATATTGAAATTAAAATTCGTATTGAAACAAAATCATTGTTTTTATTACTACGAGCATTAACTGTCTGGATTTAAATTAATACAAGTAAATGTATAATACAGTTGAATTACCGTATGTGACATTTTCAGACAGTATTTTTCGGGAAATACTCCAATAATTATATTAGCTATGGAAAAATTGAACAAATGTTGTAAAATAGCAAATTTTCTACACTTCTGACAAGCAAAGAAGGTTAATAGGCATTAATAATAAAAGCCAATTAATAACAAAGACCAATTTAAAATATTATTAATTAAAAAACGTTTACCTTGATCCAAAATGTTTTCTGTAAACTTCAGAAATTGCGACATTATCTGATTATTGCAACTTGAACAATAAACTGAATTTTTCTTAAAATCCAGTGATAAATACAAAAGAAGAAATTGCAAGAATAACATTTCACTGTAATTAGAAAATTTTAAACCATCGAATTTATATTAATAAAATAGAAATTAAATCAGAAGTTTTGAAGAAAATAAGAGAATAATAATCTACCTTATTCTTGAAATGATACAAATATTAAAATATCATGGACAAGAATGCTAAAATGCAACTAACTCATTCGAAATAGAAATTATCATCAAAACATTTCTTGGAATTGAAATTCGATACTCGATGTGATTTATTACCATTCGTAATTCAGATTTAATGGCATCAACCATTATTTTATTTTGTTTTTATCGTCATAAAATCATTGAAAAATAGATTTTTTTTGGTCTGTAAATACAGTAAAACCTGTCTGTAGAGACCACCCACTGTTCCTTCAAAAAGTAGTCTTTTAGACAGGTGGTCGTCCAATACAGGTGGTGACGTAATACCGTATTTCCGTACGTATTTTGATTTTCCGACTTAATTAATTCTACTTGATTCTTTTCGTTCGCTTCTCAGTTACGTGTATTACGCCATCGATATACAAGCGTGTCGTATCTCTACATCACTTTGATTTTGGTTTTCGTTTGTTTAACTTTAAAAATACTGTATTTTTTAATATTTAATATTTTCTTAAGTACAACAAAAAAATTATTACGACGATTTTATTATTTTTTCTCATAATACGATTTCATTACATTCCGCGATTGTCATTGCGGAATCGAAAAAGGAAGGCTGCCTGTAAAAATGATTTTTGCATTAATTAATGCGTTTATTGTTTTTTGAATATTTTGCGTGCGAAAATTATTTGGATATTATTTTTCTAAAAATATCGTGGAAATAAAGTAGGTTGATACAGAAACTATTTATTGCACATGTACTGTATATGAGCTTCAAAATAAATAAATAAAAATAAATTTTATCAAATGATGAGATCAGTCAATTAATTGTATCGTATACAATATTTTATACCCCCAAGGAAAATACTGTGGGTCTATGGTAAAATCAATTTTGTTTTCCCACAGTTAAACTTTGCCACTGATTGCTGTTGTGATAACTTTAACACGATCTTCTAACGACAGCACTTTTCATTTCTTTCGTTTTTCAGACAATTTCGAACGAACTGAAATGAATTTCCTTTGTTCCTTTGACTAATCCATTAACACCTACACCTAATTTCAAGGGTGGGAGCAGTGCCCGAGGTGGGTTCGAACGAGAGTTTAGACTAATTCATTATATTAGGAGGGGTGAAACGTTGTTGAACAATAGTTTAGACCAGATATATTTGCAGAAGTGGTCACTTATTACAGTTGTTGTATGTTGTTTTGGACCAAAAATTGATGCCCGCAGTCGTGTTACACAGGTGGTCGTTCACTACAGGTAACTTATACGAAGACTATGGATAAACTATTCGGTGCCAGAAATTTTTGCCCGTTTTGACAGGTGCCCGTTGAATGCAGGTGGTCACCTAAGTAGTTTTCAATGTATTAAATTTACTCACATATAAGACGATCTCGCATATAGGATGAGGTATGACTTTAAAGATCAAAATAAAGAAAATTAGATTTATTAATACAATTCTAATTTAATTTTGTTTAATCACAAATAAAATATTAAATGCATGTAAATTCACACATTGTCCCACAAAACTTACTGGCATTTAAACTTTAAGGAAAAATCTTGTAAAATCGACAACATAATTTGTTCATGTAAAGCTGGACAATCAGGAACTTATGTTGCCAATTTTTAACAGTTGAACCCACACTCCGTCGATTACACCTATGAGTTTCTCTGAATTCTGATTTTCAAATAATTATCTGTTTTCATGTGGGAATGGATTAAATCTTATATCAGGCTCCCGTATGATTTTGGAATTTCAATTTGGAATTCAATTCAAAAGCTTTGCTTTTCCTATTGCTATTCATTTTTACTCCTGACAGTACACAAGAACAATTCAAACAATCCAGATAAAATACTCTTGTTTTTAAACACCAGAGGGTGAGCATTGGTAAAAAATGCGAATACATGGTTCACTTATTGCAGAAACACTAAGAATCCTTTGCTCGTGCATATAGGATGACCTTGGATTTTCAAGCAGTGAGAAATGAATAAAAATCTCGTCCTATATATGAGTAAATACAGTATATAATTTTGTATTGAAGGCAATGTTCTTATCATAAATTATGGTCAAACCCTATTTATATGTGTTTGTTTATAGAATTACAGAGATAAAGACTGATACAAAAACATTGTCTTCAGACTGTTGAATATAATCAACCCAATTTTTATATTTAGAAAACGAAAAATTCAAAGATAGAAAACTCATTTAATTTGAAAGATGACTTAATTAATTTGATTTGTATTGATATATAAAATTAGTTTGTAACTGATAAAATTTAGTTAATGAATGAAATATTTTATTATGCATGTATATAGAGTGCATAGTACAGGTATCCCTTGATTAATGTGATTAATTAATTCCTCAGTGTTACTGTGTATATCAAAATTGTGGTAATCAAATACAGTATCTATATTAAGTAAAGATGGCTGTTAAAGCCCACATTAATTAAAATTTCTGCTGCATTTTTAAAATAATTGCTGCAATTAATTTTATGCGTTAATCAAATCCTGCCTTAAGCAAGGGATGCCCATAAAGTTCTTATTAACTGATGTCTGAACAAAGCATAATATATGACAGACGGTAACAAATTCATAATGAAGACAGGAAAATGAGAAATACACATTATAAACAAACACTTGAAAAATGAATGAGAACACGTGAACAGATGCACAAGAAATACACATTTTATCATTGCGTTTGTCGTGACTATTAGCATTTAAAAGTTTATATTCACACTATTCAAGTATGTGGTATTCAAATATTCTTTTTTCAATATTGTGCATCGTTTCTGAGACAGGAGAACTAACTACTGAATTTTACTGCTGGGGTGCCATAAGTGGTATTGTCTTGTGGCACCCTTAGGGTGCGACTATGCAGATGCGAGCGAGCGAATTTTCCGAGAGAGCGAGAATATGTGGCGAAAAGAGGCGAGACGCGATAAATATCAAAACCTGTCAGATATGTGCGAGAACCAGAAATTCACTCTCGCCAGCATTATTTCTCGCTTCGCGTTTATTCATGATTTTCCTTTGCGAAAACTAAATCGCTCACAACCTCTCGTTCACTCTAAATTTGCGTCTGCATAGTCGCACCCTTAGTCATAGTCACTTTACTGTAACTATGTTTCATTTGTAAATAAAGTTATATCTGCTTTTGTCAGTTACATTGGTGTATAAGGACTTGACTTTGCATTCTGTATAGTAGTAGTAATGAAATATTTACTAAGTTGCAATTAAAAAGGTTCAGGAATGGGTCAGAAAATAAAAATGCACTAGAATAGAACAAAATTTATTTAATACTAGCTGCAAGGACCCGCTTCGCTGGGTTTTTATTTGTATGTAATATAATTTTTTTTATATATAAAAGACTGTTTTTCTAAGTAATCTAGAATCTAGCTGCAAGGACCCACTTCGCTGGGCAAAAAGTAACGATAGTGAAGATTAAGATAATTAGATTAATTAGATTATAGCCAATCTTACCCATTTTCACAGAATGCAAGAATTAGGTCCCCCATTTCCAGACTAATTAGAGAATTTTTACGACCAGTCAAACGAACTATTTTCAATTTGATCAATTTTCTGGAATGTTTACAATCGTTCTATAATTGAACCAATTCAAATTTAAATTCGAATTCGAATACAAATTTGAATTTAAAACGGTTCGAACATTTTTAAAATCGAAATTGAAAATCTTCGAAGTCAACCACTTTCAAGCCCATATCTCCCGCACCCTTATAGCTACCACCATAGTGCACAAATGGAGACTTCTTTTAAGGATGGCAAAATTATCTTTTATTCATCTCATACAAATTCTGTTCACTCAAATCATTTTCCTTTTAAAGTCAGAACTGCTATTCTTTTACAATAACCCCTTCCTCAAACTTATCTTTTCTAATCAGCTTTTGCTTTACCAAAGATGGGACAAAAAGCTTTAAAAGTAAAGCTGTTTGAATCAATAGAGCTCACGTAAGATAAATCAAAGAAAATTTTGCTATTCTCAAAATAGCCAGATTTTTGTAAGATGTTTATTTGTGTGTCTTGAAGTCGTATGACCACTATCTTTGATTGGTAGGTGGCTTTTATACAATATAACTCTAAAGCAATCTATTTCTTTTTTTTTTTTTACAAGTATATTACATTATTGCATTTATTGTTTGTTCTATGTGAGTAAAAATAATTAATCTAGTTAACTTTTATTTATATTATTTCTAATTTTTAAATACCAATTTAAATGATTATGAATACAATTTATTAACATTATAGACTCTTCGAAAATTAAACAAACCAGTTGGTTCCAGATCGCCTTACAATTTTTTCGTAATTGAAAAGACTGCCATGACTTTCGGTACTAAATCGACTGTAAGTAATATATCTTAATTTTTCTTGTACAGTACATTTGATTTTTGAATACTCGTTTTATTAGATAATAATAATAATAAAGTTATAAGTTGTGTGGCTGTGAGCCATAATTATACTTATCCAAAATTAACCGTACATTTGTGAAATATTTAATCTTGCTACAATTCACTTTTTAGTCATCAATACTTTGTTTCTTTAGCTTTTGTCTCTCTCTACCCTGTGTTCAATAAGAGGTATAATGTTGTAAATTTCAAACTTATATCTAATTGTAGATAGTTAAAGTTCAAAATTTGACAAAATGAATTTGCCCAACAATGGGACAGCCCACTTCTCAAAGAAGTTCTTCAGGTGTTTCAATTGCCCAGTTAGTAATTGAAGATATAACAAGATATAACTGAATCCTAAGCCTGCATTTGTAGAATAAGTTGACTGAAGTAGTTTCAAAATCATACCTATTCTCCATGCCTCCTTCATCTCATAACACGAATAAATGTGATGGCTGAGTGGTTAAGGTGGCAGCCTGCCATTCTGGGAACGTGGGATCGAAAAAAACCCAGGAAATTTTTGGGGGTCAATCCAGATGCATCGGACCCCGTCCCTCATCACTCGACTGCCCCATTGTGAGCCTGGCCAAACTCTTAATGAATTTGCTAGAAAAATGTCCTCTTAGTGCACACAGAGTGGAAAGAGTTTAAAAAAATATGTAAATACACACTATCTATAAAGGTTTTTTCAGTTTCAGAATAATTTGTCATCTGTTTTATTTATCTAATCTCCAAAGAATGATATAAAATTTGTTATATCCTGTAATAAAATATAAAATATAACAAAATTATATCATTCTCAATATTGCATTATAATATTCCATAACTATTTTACAAAGGTAGACATTATTTCTCTAGATGTATTACTAGTGTTTTTTTATAAATACTAGTAATATATCTAGGAAGCACTTAAGAAAATAGGTATCTATAATCTATAATCTCTATTACTATAGGAAACAATGAAGAAAATAGGTCATGAATGGAAAGAGTTACCAGAAGACAAGAAAGAGGTGAGTGTATTTTATTTCTTGTAAGTAATGAAACTTATGTATAACTTAAATTGGGATTAATTTTCACTCTGACATTTAATGTTGATAAATTCTACTTTATTGGCAAACTCAATATCACAAGAAGCATAACAATTAATGTCCCTCATTTCACTCACATTTAGTAATACACATTGCCAGTTTTCAATGACAGAATGTGATGTGCTCATTGATTTGTCACTTGACTTTCTGAACTTTGTCTTGTATTTGTATAGGGTGATCATTGTTTGCTGTTTCTCTTTATGCCTGCTTGGTGACATTACATAGGATGTGCTGAAGATGCATGTGACCACCTCCTCTGGTGGCTGTCTCAGTCTATGGACCTAATTCCTTGTGACTGCTTCCTGTGATATATATGAAAGGCACATTTACATTGTCGACATAATCCAGTGCTTTGATCCTTGCAGGATCTCTGGGAAAGATTGATCTGTGCTACAAAGGCTATTATGCCAGATATATTCGATCAGATGTGGTGAGAGTTTGACTATTGCTTCTTGGATATCGTACAGAGTGACGGGAGATATGTGCATAATATTGAGAGACTATGAGGAGATGCTCATCACACTTAATTGCACTTCCAATTGAGATATGTGATGATTGTATAAGGTAAGGAAAAACAGATAATACATAGCTGTAAATTCCAGCATTTTGTTATAGACCTGTATACCATTATAGACAGAAACATACAGTTGTATCCAAAAGTAGAGCTACCCTTGACATATGTTTTAAAAATGCAACCTCTATTTTGTTTACCACCTACTACATAATTAATATTCTGATAGTTGAAAAGAGCAAAAAAAAAGAGTCAAAATACTCAATGAATTATTTTAAATCTGATTTACAAAAGAAAAAACAAAGTTTTTATATTTTACACTGGCAAAAGTAAAGCTACCAAAGGAAGATTTGTCCAGTATTTTTAGGACAAAATATTAGTGTTTTGTGATGTAACCAGAACTTCTGATCACTGCATCACATCTATGTTCCATTGAATCAACTAAGTTGTCTAGTGGAATACAATTATCAAATGATATCAAACAAAGAATGGTAGATATTCGTTTGAAGGAAAAAGACCTTACTGAAAATTGGTAAAATATTTAATGTGCATAAAACTGTTTTTGCGAAAATGGTGAAGTATTTTCAAATATATGGGACCATTGTTTCTGCCAATAAGTCAGGTAGACCACAAAAAACAACGCCAACAATGTTTGATCAGGCATACGAGTGCAGCCAACCCTTGTTGGTAAAAATGAAACTCCATCAGTAGGAATAATTGATAGCCAATCAGTCAAAACTTCTCAAAAAGGGGACTCCTTCACATATTAAACATGAAGTGAGTAACCCAGATATAAGCTTAAGGACTGTACGAAGACATTTGACTAGTTTTGGATTACATGGGAGACGACCAGAAAGAAACCACTCATCTCTGCAAAAAACAAAAAGTTGAGATTAGAGTTTGCACATGAACACATCATTTGGACCATACAAAAATGGTCCAAGGTGTTATGGAGTGATGAATCTAAATTCAATGTCTTCTGTAGTGATGGTATATGATATGTCAGATGACCAATGAACATGAGATATGACCCAAAATACACAATTCCTATAATAAAGCATGGTGGTTGCTGCATAATGGTATGCGGAAGTTTCTCGCAATCCATAGAATTAATGAATAATGGATTAAACTGTTTATCGGGACATATTGCAGAATCAAATGCTTCCTCATGCATGTTGTTCAATGCCAAGGAAATGGATCTTCCAACAGGACAATGACCCAAAACACACAGCAAATTTGATAAAGCAATGGTTTCAACAGAAAAGGGTGAATCTTATGACATGGCCAGCCCAATTGCCAGACCTAAGCCCCATAGAGAATCTTTTGGATGAAGTTGAGCGCCGTATATGCCAATGTACATATTCGAATCCGGATGAATTGTAGTCTACCATTCAAAAAGCATGGTATGAGACTCCCAAATCACTGCTTGACAACTTAGTTGATTCAATGGAACATAGATGTGATGCAGTGATCAGAAGCTCAGGTTACGCCACAAAATTCTAATATTTTGTCCTAAAAATAATGACAAATCTGTTTACTTCCTTTGGTAGCTCTACTTTTGTCACAGTGTAAAATATAAAAACTTTATTTTTTCTTTTGTAAGTCAGATTTAAAATAAAATCTGTTTGATTCAATTGAGTATTTTGACTCTTTTTTATGTGCTATTTTTAACTATGACAATATTAACTATGTAATAGGTGGTAAACAAAATAGAAGTTGCATTTTTAAACACATGTCAAGGGTACTGTAGCTCTACGTTTGGCCACTACTATGTGTGTGTGTGTGTATAGCATTAAACAAGGTTTTACTATATGTATGTATATAATACAGTGGAACTCCGGTTAACGAACGTCCTGGTTAACGACCAAATCGGTTAACGAACTATTATTTTGCAAAAATTTTGTCTCGGATAACGAACTTAACGGCTTTTTGTGTCAAATTTGTAAGCTTGCCGACTTTTAGAGAAAATCAGTTAATTGTGTGTCGGTGATGGTCTAGGGTCCATTCGTACGTTGGTGATGGCGGAGGAGACAAAGATAACAAGTATTTTATAGTGAAAATCGTTTATTAGAACAGGAAGATGCTTACATATTTGAGGTAGTTGGAAATGGCTTATCTACAGTATTTTCTCTCGGCACTGAGGAGTGGCGTATCGCTGGTCCTACGATAGTGCAAGCTGATCAGTCGTAGCCCCAGAGCGGACGAGATGGGTTCGCTTGGTCACAGAAGCGATGGTAGGTGAGAACTGCAAGACTGGAGCGGTCCGCAAGACACAACACAAATTTTAGCGGGCACGACTTCAGGATTAATCCAGACGAAGACGACACAGATTAATCGCCATAGAAGTTTTAGGAAAACTGCGTTTTTACCTTGATATTCGGGGGTTTTTATAGTATTTCTTCCTTGAATCTCACCTTACGATTTGTCCTGTGTCCCATTCCTCGCTTCCCGATTGTTTTCTTCTTTGTCTCCAGGTGAAAACTGAAACCAGATCAGATCACGAGAAAGGTTTGTTCCGAGGCGTTTATTTGACACCTGTTCGTCGACTCTGATCGGAGATTGTTGATAAACCTATAAGCCTTTTGCTCATAATTTAGCCTATTGTTTCTGCTATCTGTCATTTTAGAACTTTAACGATCGTATGTGATGTTTTTTATACCTGTCAAATCTTTCCTTTTTTCCGAAAATTTAACGTAGATCGACTGTTTATGAGCATGTTTTCCTATATTTTCATTAAAGAAAACCCATTTTACAAATAAAATTACAAAAATACTGACGTCTAGAACGGATTAATTGTATTTGCATTAATTTCGATGGGAAAAAATGCTTCGGTTAACCAACAGACTCGTGGAACGGATTACATTCATTAACCGGGGTTCCACTGTATATATATATGTTACAGTCAAAACCCGTTTTTAGTTAGAACTCGTTTTAACTAGTTGAAACTATTTTATACTGAATGTCTTTGTTAAAACCCGTTTTGTCTAGTTAAAACTAGTTTTAACTCAAATTCATTTTTGACTAGCAGTAAATTCTAGTTTTAACTAGACAAAACCGGTTTTGTCTAGTTAATTTACTGCTGTACATGTTTTGACTTTAGATAAAACTAGTTTTAACTTTTAACATTAGTTAAAACTAATTTTAGCTACATAAATATGTTTGGGGGAAATAAAGTTATGTATAGTGATTCGGCGGAAGATGCCTAACATTTTGCTTATGAAGAAAATTACAGCGCTAATTTGAGTTTAGGAGCCCTCTAATGAAAATATCATATTCTGGAGTATGTCTTTCAAATAAAAGTTTGGAGTTTATTTTAAAAAATTCTATACTGTGTTTGCAATGACGACTTTTTCACTGTCTGGCATTTTAAGCATCTCACCCCAAGTATCTGGGTGAGATGCCAAATGCCATTAGGGTAAGATAACAAATATAATTGCTTAAAATTAATTTTTGAATTTCTTAACCAAATTTAATTTATTGCATATGTAGTACAAAGTACTTCATAGTAAGTATAACAGCACAGTATAAGTATTGTTAAGTTTCCGCCCGTTCTAACGTGTTCTATAGCTAGCTGAAAGCTTTTTTCAGTCCAAAAACTTTTTTGAGAAGTCCTTATATAATTTCTATGCATATCCTGCAATAAAACGAGAAAACAAAAGTTTATTAAAAATAGGCATATTGGAAATCAATTAACAAAAAATAGGCACGTTACCCCAAGAAAAATGTGGCATATTTTCCATTTGTTGGGGTAAGATGCCTAGTAGAGTCACGTGCTCCAGCATGTCCGATCGGGATCGGCGGTAGCTGACAATGGAAACTTTAGAACCTTAACTACATCACACATTAATTGTTTTTAGCAATTTTTAATAAATTCCATTTTAACTTTTAGTTTAAAATTATTCTAGAAACATTTCACAACAAAAACTTCGTTCTTATCTAGCTTTTATTCTTCTCGGATGTAGAAAATGAAGTAACGGTAGCCAACTACAGCTTTCCGCACTCAATATTGGCCCAACGATTCATCATACAAATACATGACAATATGTGACGTCACCGTTTGAAAATATCAAAAATTAGGCATCTTCCCCCGCTTACCATCTTACCCCGAATCACTCTATGCGTTGCAGTCAAACCAGTTTTTAGTTAGGATGCGTTTTAACTAGTTAAAACTAGTTTATACTGGATGTCTTTGTTAAAACCCGTTTTGTCTAGTTAAAACTAGAATTTACTGCTAGTCAAAAATGAATTTGAGTTAAAACTAGTTTTAACTAGACAAAACGGGTTTTAACAAAGACATTCAGTATAAACTAGTTTCAACTAGTTAAAACGCGTTCTAACTAAAAACGGGTTTTGACTGTAACATATATACACACACATATAGTAAAACCTTGTTTAATGCTATCTCAATTAACACTGATTTGATATAATGTGGTCTGTTCAAGGCCTTAAAAAAAAGCTCAAAATTTACATTGATTCAAATTATCTCAGCATTTCATTGATTCATATATAATACGATTATTCTCAAACACGAACCAATTAGCAAAAGGTGGCAATTTTTTGTAGCACTGTACTTTCCTTAAATCTATGTTTAATTGGTGCAATTTTGGAAAAAATATAGCATCATGGATGCCATAGAAAATATCGACTTTGCTTGGCAAGAATTAACTGATAAATGCCTGAACGGAATGTATGGAAGAAGTTATGGCTGGAGAATTCTCAAGCTCTCCAAGAATTCTCAATGAGAAGAGCCTATCGCTGTATCGTTTGGTTGACCAAATTGTCAACCTAATTGATACAGCAGGATTAGGAGATGTAGACGAACTGGATATTGAGAAGTTACTGCAGGTTTCTGGTGAGAGCCTTACCAATGACAACCTTCAACAACTGGCAGAACAAGGAATTCATGTACAACTGGAAAATAGTGATTCTGAAAATGAAGAACCCAAAGAATTTCTCTACAGATTTCCTTAGTAAATGTTTGGTAACAATAACCAAAATTGTCAATCAAGTTGCAGCAAATGATCCAGATTTTGAAAGGAGTGTAAAAGCAAGATGGGGCATTTTGGATGCGATCTCCTGCTACTGACATTTGCTTAATGAAATAAAAAAAAGCAGCAAATGACACTAGACAGTTTCATTGCATAAAAATCAAGAATTTCAGAAGAGCCAGAACCTTCATCACAAAAAATAAACTTTACATTTCTGTGTGCATATGTTTGTGTTATTTAACATATTATTATTATGCAAATTAATATAAAATAACTTAAAATTAAAGTAAAATTTGTTTATTTTTCACGTGTTTCTTTTTCCTTATTTTCTCTGTGTTAAAATGACCTTGTTTAATGCTGTTTCATTTGATGCTTTTTCATCTAGGAATGTATCCCCTTGCATTAAGCAGGGTCTTACTGTATATATAAAAAAGGGATGCTTAAAAGTTAAGTTTGACTATAAGAGGAATATGTATTCACTATTAAAGTGATTTTTATTTTTTAACTTTCTGCTCAATCAATCTCTAAGAAGGCCAGCCTTTTTATCAAGCCTATTATGAGTTTGGCCAGGCCACAATGGCATGGCTGGATGATGAGATAAAGTCTGTCCTTCAAAAAATTCTTGGGCTTTTTGACCAACCAGATTCAATGTCGGGTCCTCTGGACCAGTAAGCTATCACCCTAACTGCATGGCCATCTGGCCATTAAATGATAATGGGGTTATTATATATCAGACGTTAATAATTTTGTCTCTAGTTACAATCAAAGATCAATATTCTTTATTCCCATGTTGCATTTAGTTAACAAAGAATATTCTAAGTTTGTTTCGTCCGATGGTTCTTTTCAGTTTTTAATACTTGTAGACATAATTCGCCCATATAGGGATCACCATTTATTTGTTTTCTGCGTTTAAGACAATACATTTTCGATGACCGACCTTTCTTTCTAGGCTACTAGCCGCCAAAATATGGGCGAATTATGTCTACAAGTATTAAAAACTGAAAAGAACCATCGGACGAAACAAACTTACAAATTATGACTACAAAGTGTCGTCACCAGGGGAAGCTTTTTGATCTACATTTTCCAGCGCTCACTTCTCTGTGGATAAAAGGCTGAAACACCCAAAGGGTACAGATGGTAAAAAAGGAAAGATGTTCGTAAATCACCAGTTCCGATTTTAGAAAATTTTGTATTTTTAATTGGAAGTTTTTTTGTGTGTTTTTAAATGGACTTTTAAAATATTTTGGCGGCTAGTAGCCTAGAAAGAAAGGTCAGTCGCCAAAAATGTATTGTCTTAAACGCAGAAAACAAATAAATGGTGATCCCTATATGGGCGAATTATGTCTACAAGTATTAAAAAAGAATATTCTATTTTTGATCCTTGTTTCGTACTAGTACTCGAGCATTCATTATTAATAATAATGTGGCATTTCAAAAGCCTTAAATTACTTTTAATTGTTAGTTTTTCATTGGGAGAAGTTTCTAAGCATCTTAACTTTTGTTCATTGATTAATACTTTGAAACCGTTTTTTTGCACATTTTCTGATTCAGAGTAAACCAGAGAATTTTATTAATTTTTCGTGTGTATTTATTATTGTTCATGTGTGCAGTGCTTCATGACAGGATTACATTCCAAGAAATGTATTGATAAATGAACATCACAGAATATATTTAGACACGCCTATATAATACAATCTACTACTCAAATGGGCAGTTGAAACCAAAGGTATTGTCTGATCGTTGACTGAGTGGATAAAACCACCGAAAGCTGGTTGTGGGTTTGTGCCCATCAGACTGGCCAAGGGTGAAGAAAACCCAGAAACCCCTATGGTGTTTTCTGGGATTTTTACATACATCAAACATCTAAATAGGCACAAGTTTCTTATAGAACAAAGGTGGCAAACCTATGGCACATCGGGAGAAATCAGGTGGCATGTGATGTACCATACGATTTCAGTTTATCACCTGTTTTTTCAATTATCCTTTCGGTATATTACCCAATCAGTTTTTTCTCAGCTAGCTTCTTTACATTTATTCTTTATCTAACTTAATTAAAGCATACTCATTTTGTTTCTGTATATAGTTATTTCAAGTCTAAAACTTCGGCATACACAAAACATTTTCAAAGATAATTATGCTCACTGTGAGGCATGCGGATTCGAAAAGGTTTGATGTCCCCGTTATAGAAAGTCTTCCCCAGAGGTATCATCCAACTCGGCAGATTCTCTACATCATAAATCTCAATTCAATCTAAATCTGTTGAACATATATTGTAAAATAAATAGCTTTAACTGCCAATTTAAATTGCATTTGAGTAAGATTTATACTTAATTGTTCAGTTTTAATAAAAACATTACATTAAAATTTGGTAGGTAGGTAATTTTATTATATTGTTTATGTTCCAGATTTATAAAAGAAAAGCAGAAGAGGACAAAAAAAGATACGACAACGAAATGGAAAAATGGACATCTAAAATGTTAAGCGAAGGCCATGAAGATATTTTAAGTCAATTAAGCAAGAAGAAAAAAAGACGCAGTAAAGAAACTAGCGAAATTAAAATAAACGAAAAGAAAAACATCAAATAGAAGTAATTACCGTATATACATAACTTTTATAAATAATAAACACATAATTGTGAAGGGTGTTTTCATTTTAGCATTCAGCAAGCTCCTAGTTCCCAAAATAAAGTTTTATTTATATTTTTTTGATTTTAGAAAATGTTTTAAAGGGACAAGTAGACCAAAAAAGAATTTACACTTCTTGAATATTGTTATTTGTTACACATTTTTTTGTCATTTTATACTGTCAGCTGAAAAATCAAGCATATTTTCGTAGGATTAAAGTGTAAATATCTAAAAGCTGGAGTTCTTTGGACTATATTTTGACTAGAATTTAATTGTTGAAACCGACTGTAAGTAATTCAGATTTCATGTATGTAGACTACTATCTTGTATTAATAACAAAGAGAATTTGTTTTTTAAGATATTTAAAATTATTTTAAAAATTAAGGAATTTTCACTCACCAAAAAGATTACATCTGAATAATCTTGTGAAGGTGGCAGATCCTAAATTTGGGATGTCGTTTAGTGATGCAGAATTCTTGCAAAATCTAGCTGTATGATAAGGTCCACTATCAGGTCATCACTTCTGGTGCTATTTGGTTGAAAACCAGCTGTATGTGCCTATTATAAATATACAGCCTCTTCCAAAAAGAATGCTACCATTTTAAATTATTGCGTTGTATGTTCAGTACATTGAAACTTTGGAAAACAAGTTTCATATTTGCCCATTACGGTGTCACAAAGCGCACACCTCGTTGCACAATGGGCATCTAACCGATACTCAAATTCTACGATTGCTAGAGAATACCGATTGTCAGTCCTACCACGGAAGCCACAATTCCGCAGCTCCCGTAGATTGCTCACATTGAACGACAAGGAGTGATTCCAACTTTGCAAATTGCATTCTGCTATTTGCAAATTTGTCGTAGGGTTGCCATTTTTGTATACGGCACTTCCTAGAGGCAGTAGACAACGAGACTCAAGACTTTTGTATGCAGAAGGGAGACGAAACTCGGACGATTACTCTGTCGATTGGTGTACACCGCATAGTTTTCGGATAAGAATTAACATGGTTACAGTATTTTAAAATGGCAGCATTTATTTCGGAAGAGCCCGTATCTTTGGAGACGAACGAACAACCGATTGCCTCTTCCACCGTTTTAAACTGGACCAAACTCCAGATGCCATTCAAAGATACTTGGAGCAATTCTCTCCATCCTTCTAGAAAATTTGTATTTCTCCTGAATGCTTCCCTGCAGTCTTGTTGGTTACTCAAAGCCAATGAGAGTTCAGCTTACAAGAAAATGTTTAATGTAATTTATACTTAAGCAATTCAAATAGAGATTTACAGTCAATAAATTTGAATTTATTTAGAATTTGACACAAATATATCTTTGAAAAAATCGTTATTTCGAGGAATGTGTAGTAATTCAAATGATTAATTCATTATAAACCAAATGTAAAAATTCATGTCTTATTTGTGACAGGTAATCAGGTTATTAAACCTGATTATCAAAGCCGAACGAAATGCCGAATTATCGGGCTATAAACTTGATGCCGCTATTAAAGCAGCCGAGGTAGACAAATCAAGAATACTAGAAAGCAAAAGTAGTGTTACAACGCATCTCCAGAAAGAACTAGAAATCTTCCAGGCTACGGGTGAGAAAACACACATCTGTCTTCTTTTAAATGCATTAAAGGCGATTCCACCTACATCAATTGAGTCGGAAAGGGCAGGACTTTTCATTACTAAAATAAGAACCAGATTGAGTAATTGGAGTATTGAAATGGCTTCGGGAATATGTATCGAGAAGTGATGATTCGAACGAAATTTTGCACATTAATAGAAATAAAATGGCGTATCGTAACGAAGGCCGAATTTGAGAATCTGACTTAGAATGGGAGTATCGCGGGTCCAAGCTCATTCCCGTTTTAATTCAATGGGAAAATTTGCATTGTAAAAGCGTAAACAAACGAGCGCTCGCTACCCGACATTCGAAATACTGCGATATACGAAAGCTCTCGACAATTTTTTTCGAATGCCGATCTTTTTCATTTTTCTCGAAAAATTCACAATACTGTACGTACTTTAACGTATTATACCTTGCAAGATTTATATAATATAATATACCAGTTTTGCGCAGACGGCCAGTAACACTGGAGCGAACAATCGCCGTGGATCATGTAGGCCATGATAGTACTGTATACAGTAGTGTACTCCGTTCATATAAAACAGATTTCCGTGGATTTACTTGCTTAGCAGCTTGTTTTTATATCTTCCCGTTAGCGGATCATGTTTATTTGAGGCCCTAGGCGCAATTTTCTTATAAGGCCCTTTATTTAAAATTATTTTTTTCATAGGCGCGGCGCACTCGGCAAGAATAGTGCGAAATTTTTACAGACATATTATCGTTTTGCTACGTAATTTTTGAGGCCCCAGGCGTGCGCCTATTAGGTAATCCGCCACTGTATCTGCCATTACACGCAAATACAAAATTTCCACTAGAAAAGTTTAAAAAACAATGTATTAATATCATTGTAATGGTTATATTGTCATAGACATTTCCTACTGTAAATATGATAAATAAATAAATAAAACAATTAGATTAAATTAAATCCAATTGTTTTATTTATTTATCATATTTAATTAAATTAGGCTGTGTTTTAGTTTTTTCTACGTTTCCAACGAGTGATTTATGACGTTTTACATACTCGTTTTAAGCTGGCAACACTGAACGAGATCCAAATTTAAATTCGAATTTAAACAATATGGTGGTGTTCGGTTTCGCGGCGAAGAATACCGTCTTCAGTTTTAGTAGAGTTTTGACCGAAATTAGGTATCGAAGTCGTATTTATTAATTATAAATATATAGATATTTTAATTGTAATTTACACTAATTATAACAAAGTTAACATGGATATACAAAAGAACGTTCTATCGCGGGTTGGTTTTACACGTGGTGTAAGAATAAAGGTGATATTACCTTTGACTGTCAAAAACTTGTCAGGAATGTGGTCTTTCGGTTGTTTACCATTTACTATATTGCCTCGTTCCATAGTGTTTTAAGAAATTCTATACAAAATCATGTTTTTTTAAATGATATGTGTGTAATTTCAAAGGTAATTATTATCCAAAGAAACAAATAATAAATGTATTTAAGGCACCAAAAGATTTAGAATTGTTTAAAAAATGGAAACAAGCAATACCACGTGCAGATTGAGAATGGACTGAACGCTACAATGTTTGTGAGAAGCATTTTGTTTTGCACCAAATTGTTCGTGGAGAGTATATAAAGATGGAGAGGAAATCATCAACGTTCCTCCAATCATAAAACTCCTCGACAGACTAAGAATGCGGTGCCCGGTTTGTTTCCGAATTACTTGTCGTATCTTTCTAAACCCGGCGAAGCACTTCAAAAAAGTCTTTTAATTATCTTTATTATAGTTTATAAACTATTTAACCAACCCATGACCTAAAACATACTTATAATTGCTGCATTTTTTCTACAGCAGTAAAAATTATAACCAGAAATTTTTTTATTACAGTAATTTGGACAGTTAGAAGCAGGGCTGTGGAGTTGCGTAAAAATCTACCGACTCCGACTTTTCCTTACCATCCGACTCCGGCTAAAACATCAAAACTCCACGACTCCAACTCCACAGCCCTGGTTAGAAGAGCTGGATGTCAAAATAAACATCCTGCTTTTCCAAGGTTTTTGCAACTATATAATAATATATCATTATATTCCCAATTAAAACCACCAAGATCTGGTATTTACCACATTCCATTTGATGAGAAACCGAGAGTTTGTTATGAAGAAAAAACATTCGTAAAGAAATTCAAAGAGGACCTTACCCGCTTGAAAAAATTAAAAGATAAATTGGGTGGACATATTTAGGAGTATGATGAGATAATTGATCATTGAGAAATATTAATATCTCTAAATGAGGACAAACTTGTCACTCCAGGTCAGTTTCTGCCATTAAGAGGTTATACTATGTCAAATCTGTTACGGGGACAAAATTAAAAAGCAATCGATAGTTTGAGCTTAAATTACATTAGATAATTGGAAAATTCTTGAGAATTCCGTAATCCTGTGGCTGCAGGTGTATAGGAACACTACTGGTAATTCAACAATCTAAAACTATGATTTAATTATGTTTATTTTGGTTTATTACATACATAACTAGATACACTTTGGGACAACTTAGATTTTATGATACTTATACCTAGCTCTTAATAATTTTAGTTACTAAAGGAGACATAAAATGTAAGTCAGACCAAAATTCATCTAGTTATGTATGTAATCAACCAAAATAAACATAATTAAACTGTAGTTCTGGATCGTTAAATTACTAGTGGTGTTCCTGTACATCTGCAGATGAAGGATTATGGAATTCTCAACAATTTTTTAATTGGAATATAAGCTTAGCTTGTGATCCAAACAAGAAAGGATACATTTAATAACTAAAGTGTGAGAAACTGGGGGCTACAGGGGGTCCCTATAAACCATTTAATTGACGACAGTCTGGCAAAAGCTGCTCTCGTCTGTGGATGGGTTAGGAGGGTTTAAATTGAGTGGGGAGCGTGGTGGATAAGTCAATAAGATGTCTAGTTTCCAATTAATAGACAGGTTTTAACATAACAAATAAAGATTTAATATAACTAAGATACATGAAAATACAAATACAAGATTAAATAGATAAATTATATGTGGATAAAGGCAGATAATTCTTGCTAGATGTTTAGACTATTCTACTATCTATGCCATGAGCATGTGCTTAAGTTCTTGAACACGGAGAGAGAGTTTACACCAATTTTAACTAAAATACCTCAGAGAGTAAATGCTGATCATTGACGACGTATATGGCATTGTTGGGTGGTGGGTCTTGTCTTCGTGGCGTTTCTCGGTCGTATAGCAGGTGCACAGTTCGCTTGGGAGTAGATGAGTTGATCCTCGTATGGAGAGCAAGTCTTATCCTCGGACGAATGCTATTTCCATTTGACAAAATGCACTTTTTTTTGGGCTTCCATATGACAAACGCCCCGAAGTGTAGGTGCTTCGTCCTTATATACTAATGTGCCTGGGAAAACTGGTCATGTGATTAGCAGTTGTTTGGAAATGAAAGTTACTTTTGCAGGTGCAAGTTCAGCGATGACTTTCGTTGATGTAACAGTGTCGCTTTCCTCTCCTTTCACAATCAGATGTTATTGTTTTGCAACCAACTGTCAAACTTCTCGTCCATTTGTTGATAGTAAAGCTGTCATTCAATTATGTTCTGTGTGATGTATTGTAACGATCGTGACGAAAATGATATAACAATTTTCTTAAAAATGGATTAAAATATCCGTAAACTCATGGATCTCACAAAAGTAATATATATTTAACTTAGAGTATAAAAATATCAGTTTAATGAAAATTTTTTAAAAAATTATACACATATTCTATTACTTTTAAACTATTTTATGTAAATTTCACTAATTTTACTGAAGTTAGCACAAATTAAATTTCAATTAGCAATTGTAGCTAGTGGTATTCAATGGCAAAAATAGACTTGTAGCTCCTCACGACATATGGTGGATACTCAAGTAATCGCAATCACTTCATCAATGTCCTTCAATGGAGAGTGGTATCACCTGTATTATTACACCATGGTTTTACAGTACAATGGTAAGATGTGAACTCTGAATGAGTTTACCACCCTTAGATTTGTATACATCTGTAGGAGCAAAACAGTCAAAGGAACAATACCTGTATATTCGACCCTTCATGAGATATTCTGTAAAGGTCAGTTTTTACCATGTACCAAGATATATAATTTTTTTAATTTTCATTAAACTGATATTTTTATACTCTGAAAAGCTTAAATATATATATACTATCTAGTATACTGTATATATGTATATATATACACATACTCCATGCTCCTCATCGGTCAAGGCTTGCTATTGCTTGCCTTGATTGACACTCTGCGTGAAGTCGTGTGCTTTGATGCTTGCAATTGCTAGTACTTCATTGTTTTAGGGGGTTTGGGGCTTGTCGCTCACATGAGGACAAGCTCCCATACCTCCAAAAACAATATAACATCAGGTACTCCACGAACAGTTGAATGGTCTACTTGAAGCTAGCAAAGTCACTTGGGCTAAGCTGTTAAATGCAATATTCTTAGCTAAGAATATTGCATTTAACAGTTTATGCGACTCATAATTGTGCATGACCTGATTTTGGGGCAGTATCTTGAGAAAGTAGAGATGGGGTTCCTTTGGCTTTTTTGTACTATGGGTATGGTCTAAAGCTCTGATAAGGTCCCAACCATCTCATTCAGAGGTGTAATTGTATCAGTTTGGGTTTGTAAAATGAACCGATTCCAATATATTGATAACATTGACCTGCCAATTCCAATCAGATTGGCATCTGTTACATTTCTATATTCAACACAAAATCAAAAGTATTGTACAGTTTCTCTTCATGCATTTCCATATTATACAAAACAATATTCCTAATCATTTCTATATTGCCCAGATTGCTCAAGTGGAATTTATCCTTAGACAAAGCCATTACGTACGCATTAACATGAGTACACACAATGAATCAAATAATACATGAACCACAAACAACTTTTAACTGCATACAAAGCCACCATTAGCACAAACATGTTTCGACAACAACGAACATACTTAGGAGATAACAATAATGGAATGTAGATAAATTAAGCTCGACGATGTGGAATATAATAATAATAAATTCAAAAATAAAAGCACCTTGATCTAAAATATATTTTATGCACTCCAAAGTTAGTTATTAAAATACTTAAATTTATTTTAGAAATATTTCTTTCAAGTCTTGGTTTGCTAATACCAAAGAACCTTGTTTGAAGAATACTTTGAACGCAAATCCTTCTCGTCCAAAGAAACCTTTAACGTCTTATATGCTGTTTATTAAAGAGAAGAGAAATGAAATGTTCGGTAATAACTCGAGTAAGTATTTGAATTTGTATTAAATTTGCATAACCAAGAATATTATAATATCTTACATTAAAAAAGCTATACAGTAGCTTGGTCGGTAACAACTGTGACTACTATTGGGGATAGGATGAGATAGTTTTGTGGCAGTTTTGTACACATGCACGTACTTAAACTGTACGAGTTTTATCAATCGTAAATATGTTTTCTTTTTTTTTTCAAAAAACATTGCTCTCTAAACAAAAATGTGAACCCTTTGTAGTCTGGTATATGTGGATTTAACACTTAGTACATGTACATGTAATTAATGGACAGCACAATATGCCTAGATAAGAATTGTATATGAAAATTCTTACACTTCGTATATCTAAGATGACAGACATTTGTAAATTTAATTCAATATCTGGTGTATTTTTGATAATTGGATCGACATATATTTTCCATTTTATCATTCTGTTGATATGTATTAAAAGCTTTTGCGAGTAGTTGGGGAGTTTCTATTAGTTTTGATTTTAGTAATTTAAGAATAGTATTAAAAAAGTTTTCTTTAACTTTTATTCTTTTTAGGAAATTTAAATTAATAAAAACTAATAGTAAAATTTTTTTAGAAGTCAGTGGTAAGGATCAAATAAAAATTTTAAGTGAGAAGTGGAGGTCATTAAGCGAGGCTGAAAAACAGGTAAGAAGTATGTTTGTAAATTTTTAATTTCCTAAAATTTGAATGGTGTAATTAAAAAAATTCTGTATATTTTATATACATATACATACATACATAGCATTCCAAAAAGCACGCTACCATTTTAAATTATTGCAATTATGTTAATCATTATTCGAGAGTGTTTTAAAGTACGGTCGGCCCAATGAAACGTTGCAGTTGGTCAGTACTAATTGTGCTGTTTTAGGAGAGGTAGGGTGACGGGATGGGATAATTGTATGATAATTTAGCTAAACCCATAAGAGTCCCAGAAACTGGACTCTCGATAACTTGACATTCCATAAAACTCATCATGTCATCAAAAAATAAAAAATAAAAAGAAAGACATGTAATCTAATTTTTCCTCTATAACTCAACACTAGGATCAAATAAATTATTGTTCTTCACTGGTGATACTAAATAATAGCATCAATTCCAAGTGTTAACAAAGAATATAACCATTTTTCAAAGGAGCCACTTCAAAATGCTACAATGCAAATGTTGCAAACTCTAAAGTACCCACTGAATAACCAATATTTTAAAATTAAAATTCATCTATAAACAGAAATAGTCACTATTGGCATGCAGTTAATACATATATGAATTTGCATGCACAATAGCTTTGTGAAATTTCGCTAGTTAAATCATCACTATGCCATAAAACTTTTCATTTTTGAATAACTCATCACCTTAGTCCACGTTAGGTCGATTTTGCAAGACTCTACAGTACTTAAGCCAAACTCTTTGTAGCCTGGAAGATAATTGGGAAAGTAAGGGAGGGCCGGAGGGACAATTTATGGATTTAATAATTAGTCACATACATCTTTACTTAGACGGAGAGTCTTGCAATTTATTCTGAAATAGCAAGCTTTATATTAGGAATAGAGAACTAAAGTTGAAATTTAGATATGTTTGGATTTTGCGTGCGATTTAATATTTTATCTAATCTTTACCTCAATTAAAAACAGCCGTAGTTTATAACTCATGAGTTTAAATAATGATCAAATTTTTTCTTACTTTTTTTATAATTGTGTTTAAATATGTTGCTAAATTATTAAACAATCACACAACTAAATTGATTTTACATTTCATCACAAATTATGCAATCCATTTTGTATGATAAGACAGGCCTGTATGTTCCATTTAATTAAGTTTTTACTGAACTTTTCACATTTCCCAAATATTATTCTGTGACGTGAATTTTATCAAGAAAATGCTCATTCAAAATTGTAACATCTTGAACACCGGTTTCGACCTGCAACATTTCACCATCAGCTCTTTTCTCATCTCCATTCTTTATACGTGATCTAGTATTTAGTATAAATTATTCCTTTGCTCATTAAGCATCAATTAATTCTCCTCAAATAAAAGGTAACAATTGTCTTCACAAATCTGTCATTTTACAAAGGTTTTTTGTATTCTTCAGCAATCTTGTGTTTGAGAAAAAAAAAGAGATAGGTTTGACGACTCAAGTTGGCTGCTCGGTTTCCAGATGCAAGTGACTGTATCTTAACAAATGACAAAAATAAACTGTGTCTGTTTTATGTTGGAATAATACTAATCAAACCTATCATATACAGTACCAATGTAAGGCCAAAAAGGGCCATTTTTAAAGAGAAAACTGCACAAAGAATTTTAAATTTGGACTTTTTAGTCCCAAATTGGAGTGGTGTATTCATCCCAGTCCATACTGTTGTCAGCAGGATCTGTCTGAGGATTTTATTGATATATTTTAAGTATTACAATAAGTAATTAATCTTTATATTTTATTTTGTAAAGTTTTATTTAATCTTTCGACAACAGCAGCTTTTGTATTGGGAAGGTATGAATAATGATCAATTTTTAATTTTTTTTAAACAGATTTTGTACTAATTCCTTTCCTTTATCAGTTTGCAAATTTTTTGGAATGTTCTGTTTAAAAATGAATCGAAAAGATTCCAAAACAGATTAAGCTTTTTTTATCCTTTATTGCCACGACATAACAATATTTAGTAAAAACATTGATTACGATTAATAAATAATTTACGCCATTATTAAATCTAGAAAATTGTTTTAGCTCGATTAAATCAGCTTGCCATAAGTCATTAGGATAAAAAGCTTTAGTTTTTCTTGGCAAATATTTAATTCGTACAGGTTTATGTATAGTATAAACTGGTTGAGAAAACAACCATTTTTCAACAGTAGGACTTGATAAATTAGATGCTTTAACTAGTTTACTCGCACCGCCAAACAATGCAGGAGGTTTCGGATTATAATATATCTATTTTAAAAGTTTTTCCATTCGGGACTCTTTTTTTCTCTTTCTCGAAGACTTCTTCCACTGGTAAAATATTCTCAGAGAGATTGATGAGAAAATTTCTTTGGGACTCTAGGCCAATACTGCGGTTTTCTCCAATTTTGGGTAAAGTTGCCAAACTTTTGTTATTGATCCACTCTTTAGAAATGTTTATTTTCTTTAAACCCTCCCAAAATTCATTAAAATCAACGGATCCAACACAGTTATTCTCTTTCTCACTAAATATGAAATTAAATCCACTATATGGTTTCTGGAAACAGGTTTACCGTCGATTATTAATTTACCTTTGAAAGTGTATCCGCAATGATTTAACTTTGGTTTATTGATTAAATGTGGGACATATTTTTGATATAATTGAGGTATAGATATAGTTATTTGTTTGATAAATGCATCATCATCAGGTTTTTCTTCGAGTTGAGATTCTGTTTCTTCAGGTTTATCCGGTACAACAGATACTCAGACAGGTTCTTTAGGTGCATGAACTGTTCTCTGATATCTTGAAATTAATTCACTTAACTGTCGTTCGATAAATTAGTACTCTCAAGTAATTCTTCAATACTAAGACAATTCTTATCTCGAGTTTTTGATTTTCTTAATTTATGAACATTGGCAGATATATTTCCTCTTAACAAATTATCGCATATTTCGCATAAAACTTTAATTTGATCCAGAGAATCTTTTTTCGGTATTTCTCTTTGCTGCAAAGGTGTAGTCTTCGCCAAAAGTCCCAACGTGTGATCTCTCATAATTGTATTTTTTGGAAACGTGTTCTGCATTATTAAAATCACACTTAAATTACAGTAATGAGATTCGGTTGTAACAAAAATGCTGTTTTCGGAGCCAATTCGTACATCAAATTATCGATTACTATTAAATCCCATCCTTGCATGGATTCGGGCAAACCATACATAAATGTCATATCTGTTTCTTCTTGAAAAAATGATAAATATACGGAGTAACACCACAAAATCTTTTTAAGAGCTATTTCATAAATTTTTCAACAAATAATCTTTCTTACCAATGTAGTTTTTCCACATCGGGATGATCCGACAAATCCTTCTTTTCTATGTAAATTTCTTGCAGATCTTCCGCACGGTCTTTAAATGAATCGTGTACTTTGTTACTTACGTCATTAACAATTATAAAACCAAACATTCTTTCTCCTTTCCGATATTTGCCATTAACTTTAAAATAACACAAGGTAATAGGAAAATTGTTGGGAATATCCAAAAAAAAAAAAAATTATTTGCCACAGCAGCACGAGCATCCGACGACTTGTACAAACGAGGAAAAACTATATTATTCCTATTCTCGTCGTAAGTAAAGTAAATTCAAACATCTCTGCGATTGTATTTTTTAAAAATAAAAGAAGTATTCTATGAAAATTTGGTTGTTATTTGATATAAATTAATCATATTTTCTTAAAATATTATAACAGAAAAATAAAATATACCCCAAAGTGTATTGAATCACTACTACAATACTATTATCCAACATTAGTTTGCACTTTTAAGTCTTGTTTTCTAAGAAACTCATTATTAATAAGTGTTTTTTCTTAACTTGAATATTGCACTTCATATAATTAAATGTGTTTATACGTTTAGATGTACATCAAAAAGTACCAAGAAAGTGCAATCGAATATACGAAACAGCACGAGGCATATATGAATTCGTTAACTAAAGAAGAACATCAAGCACTTGAGGACAAGTTACAAATGAGGAAAGAATCCCAAAAACGCCTTAAATCTGTGAGTAAAGTTTGTACATATTGTCAAATCTCAATTATAGTGTTAAATAGCACCATTCTCATACAGGGTTAGGGTTTTGGAGAAGCGGGGTCTGACAATTTCTCCCACTCTGGCTTCATTCCAGGTGAAATTTATGGTTCGGGCTTCAGCCAATCTAATTTTTAAATGAAATTGAGAGAGGCATTCATAATTCAAACCACTGTATTTTATTTATAATGTTTATATAAAATTTAGATAAAATGATAGAAACACAATAGAAATAGATCTTTGGTCACACGCAAGCACAGTGGCCAAACTGTAGCTTCTGTCTATTTACATCGTCTCATTTTGTAAATTTACTAAATACAGGAAATCCTTGTTAATTTGAACTCAGATAGTTTAAAACTGTACTATTTGTCCTAGCCGGGTCTATACAGATTTACACATTAAAGAATTCGGTTAGTTTGAAATACGAAGTGAAAATTCTGTCCAAACTGTGATATGCACATTTGTTTAGTATCTCCATACTTTAAGAGAACAATAGACCAAGAACAACTCTAATCTTATCAATATGGCTTTGCTTTTGTAGTAACACATTTTTGGTTGTCACCTTACACATGGACTACCCTTTTTTCTCTTATAAAATACAGCGGGTTTTCGGGATTGCAAGATTGGGTTACAAGTAACAGATTAGGACTCTAGGCTACTACTTTCTGGGCTGCTTTAATAATTTGGGATATATTTTGAGGAATTCAGCTTTACTTTTATAAAGCCTATCTGGCAATTCGTGAGGTTCTCACTGGACACATGCTGTTTACTGCAGTTTAATTAATACCGCACGGTCTTTAAATTAAAATAGTACTTTGTTACTTACGTCATTAACAATTATAAAACCAAACATTCTTTCTCCTTTCCGATATTTGCCATTAACTTTAAAATAACACAAGGTAATAGGAAAATTGTTGGGAATATCCAAAAAAAAAAAAAATTATTTGCCACAGCAGCACGAGCATCCGACNTAATATAAATAATGAAAATAGCATTCTGTATATATATATATATGTTGCTGTATTCCATTTGCTTAATAAATTACATCAGTTACATGGCATTTGAAATATGGTATTTTGTCCTTTGAATTTCAAACTAGCAAGGATTTCTGCACTACTTACAAATATATAATAATTTTGTAAGTTTTCTGACTATTACATGTGGATTGCAAAGCCAGGTATACATATGCCAGTTTACTCAACAGGTATACCTGAATAAGTTTGCCTATCTCGTATATCTGAACTTACAAATGAAGAAAATGACAATTCTGTCATTCGTGCATTCAGGTGTACTGGAAGGCACGCCTGTTTAGCTCTTCCTGTTAGTATACCAGTATGCGTGCACCCGGCTTAAGCATAAGACATAACTTGGACGTAACCAAAAGCTAAGGATATGTTTGTGTGAACCAAATTTTAAATAGCGTGCCCCAACTAGAAATCCACAAACCGGTAACAAAGTGTTTATAAATAAATTTCTTATTTTCTCAAAGAGTTTTTAGATAGCCTTTCTTACATAACTATCGAGACATACACATTCTTAAGCTAACATATTGGTGATAAGTATATACATATATAAAATGCTGTTCTTGCATATTTGTAATAGGTGATGTACAGGATGATTTTAAACTGATTGTATTCAGACCCCTCTAGAGCCTGTACTTTAGGCATAGCTTTAGATGAAACAGTGTGAAATTAGGTCATGTATATTTAAAAAATTGATCAAGTTTTGTTTGTTTCTTGTTTTATTCACTGGACTTACATACTCTGGAGTTTTGGAAAATGGAGACAACAGTCACTTGAAAGAATGAATGTCCATTCTAAAGGTTAACCAACATTGACAATGAATAGTGAAAATGAATGAGAAACTGGAAAGTGATTTTTATTCACTTAGAGAAATTAGTTTACGCTGCAAAGTGCGGAAAGCAAAAATTTTCAACATGTCGGATCGGCAAAGTAGTGTATTAAATGAGAAAATTTGTTGGAAATGGCATTGTGTGTTATACGTATTATTTTCTTTTCATTTTGCACTTGCTGGTGATTTACTGTCAGCCCTCATTTCATATTTTCTATAATCACTTAAATGTTTCCATTTCAAAGTAAATAATGCATAATTAATTGATTATTTGTAACTGTAATTAAAAATGGATATAATTTAAATAAAACATGGAAATAAAAGAACTGCTTACTGAAAAATAAAAGATTCTCCTTTTGCATCTCAGCTGTCCTTGTTATTGAGCACTCGGCCTCAAGTGTCCCTATGCCTTGTATAGGCTGCTTAGTGTGTTCTGCCAGTCCTAGTTGGGACTGCTATTCTTCCATAACAGTTTGTTAGCTTTAGTCTGGTTAGGTTTGTCCTAGGTTATGGTAGGTTAGTTTAGTTAGTAAGTTAACATTTAAAAAATAAAATAAATACATTAAAAAAATTAAAATTTTGGGGTCTTGCTCATTTGTCTCTGTCGGTCCGTTCGTCTCGTCTAGTTTGTCATTGTGTTCATTTGCTTTACGCACTGTCTGTCTAGCTGTTAAGTAGTATTAAGATTTGTGATTGCATTCAGCTTTATTAGTATTAAGTAGATATAAGTCTTCCTACTAACAGCCACTTGGTACTAACTTCTACATTTAGCTATTCTTGGCGGCACTCAATTATTGGTGTTCGCTACACTCGGGTTTTCTTTTAGACTCTTCAGGGGACTATGGCCTTGCAGTCTAAAAACTGCACGCCAACATCAAACACAAAGGGTACTGTAGCCGTATGTATGCTGTTCAGAGAGATCCTACCTTTCTCTACTGTCTATCTCCTCTCCCTCCTACTTCCCCTCCCCTTTCCCTTACCCTCTTTTCTGCCAGTTAAACACTTTGTGTACAGCCAATGTCTTTCTTGTATGTATGTATGTATGCATGCATACTTCCATAATTACCATATTCTTCTAATAAGGACAGTCTCGAGTGGTAGATACGTGTCGTATAACTCTGAAGCAGTCTAGTCTCTGTGTTTATCATTGCATTTATTGTTTGGTCTATTATAATTAAAAACGATTAATCTATTTAGAAATAATATAAGTTAATTTTTATAATTTTTAAACTTTCATGATTATAAATATGATTTATTAACGTTATAGGCTCTTCAAAAATTAGACAAGCCAGTTGGTCCCAGATCACCTTACAATTTTTTCATAGCCGAAAGGGCTTCCATGACTTTCGGTACTAAAGCAAATGTAAGTAACATCTCTTAATTTTTTCTTTATATTTAATTTTTGAACATTCTGTACGTTAGATAAATAATAATAAAATTATAGCATGTGTGACTATTTAATCAAGCCATGTTTACTCAAATCCAAAATTTAACATTATACAGTATTTGTGAAATATTTAACTTTTGCTACAATTTTGCTTTTAGTTATCTGTACTTTTTTCATTTTTGTATCTTTCTGCTCCAAGGGCATTGAAAGGCCTTTTAATTGAACCCAACTGGGCCCACAATGAGGGTGACCTGGGCCTGACATTGTGAGAGACCACCATTTCAAAATTTTCCGGGATTTTTCTGACCACCCAGATAATAATTGAAGATATAATGGGGGATTGACTTTAGATTTGCCAAAAAAAATCCCAGAAAGTTTCGAGAACTGGTATCAGATCTTGTCCGTCATCATCCAACTGTCTCATTTTTGGGTTTGGCCAAACCCATAATGGACTTGCTAGGAAAAGGGGCAGAAAGTTAAAAAGAAAAATGAGTAAATGTGCACTACCTATAAAGGTTTATCAGTTTTGGAATAATTTTTTATCTGTTTATATGATTTTTTTTTTAGAGATTAGAAAAATAAATTTTGTTATATCATATATTTTATACAGGATATAACAAATTCCATATCATCATTGATATTAAATTATAATTCTGTGGCTATTTTATAGAGGTATAACAACTCTATATTGTTATAGGAAACACTAAAGAAAATAGGTCAAGAATGGAAAGACTTACCAGAAGAAAGGAAAGAGGTGAGTGTAGTTTATTTCTCTGAAATAATGAAATTAATCCTGATTTAAGTTATATATGTATAACTTAAATCAGGATTAATTTTCACTCTGCCAATAAAGCAGAATATATCAACATTTAAGTATAAAACTCAATATCACAAGAAACATAACAATTTAATTAATATCTTTCATATTTTTGACCCATTTGACTTGACTTGTGTTTAGCCAAATGTATTAACAGTTTTTAACGGCAAAATGTCATGTGACTTTCCAAGTTATCTTGTATTTGTATAGGTGGTAGTTGCTTGCTGTTTCTCAGCCTGCCTTGTAACATTACATTGGATGTGCTGCAGATGCAGTCAACCACTGGAGGAGGTGGACCTAATTCTTTGCAACTTTTTCCTGTGGGGTGCACGAAAGGCACACTTACATTCTCCATATACTTCAATACTTTGATCCCTGGGAAAGGCTCATCAGGTTTGGTGGGAGTTTTACTACTGGATGTCATGCAGAATGATAGGTGTGTACATAGAGAGATTTTGAAGTGATGCATGTCACATTTAGTTGCATTTACACTTTTAATTGAGACATGTCATGATTGTATAAGATAAGAAAAACCGAAAATACATAGCTGTGAACTCTGGCATTTTGTTACAGGCCCTGTATAGACATACACATATATATGTGGTAGACACCAAAAGTTTCTGGACTGTTTTATATATAAAACAATGATGTTATTTTTCAATATAGTCTCTCTGCAGTTCAACACACTTTTAACATTTCAATACCGTTGAAAAAACAGTCTGCAGTTTTGTCTGCAAAATTCTCATAAACTGCTTCCTGCAACTCTTCACTTTTTTGAGTTTTGGAAGTAGATAAATAATCACCAGGAGCCAGGTCTGGACTGCAGGAAGGATGGTCAAGTTCCTCAAACACACTTCTTCACGGCAACCTTGTGCATTCGTTGCTGTAAAGAAGTGTGGTTTATATGCTATGGCAGCCATATGCACAGGCGCATTATTCTTTAAGAGGCAAACATCTTGCAAATTAATGTAATAAGTTTAACTAAAATGAATGTTTCCAAGCAACTTATGAAAATTGGCAGAAAAAACTTTTTTATTAGTCCACATACAATCTGATACTATCATTATTTTATTTGTATCGTCTAAAATATAGTTAGGCTCCTACCTCGTATATACATAAAAGAATTCTCAAATGTTAAGTTTGAAAACTGAATTTACTTTAAATGAACTAATTGATATAAAAATTTATTCATTTTAAGGAAATTGTATTCACTATGAATGTGCTTTTTAATTTTTTAACTCTCTGCACTACAGACGTTAACTAGAAGAGTTATCAAGTTCGGGCAATGAGAGCACCATGACTGTTTGCCCATCGAAGAACTGGAATGAATAATAATTCTTTTTTTATCTCTTTGTCCTTACTTTTTACATTTTCTATGAATATATTGTCTACTTGGACTATGTTTATTAATAGGACTTATTATACTGGTGAATTTTCTGATTATCAAAGAAGGGAAATCTTGTCAAAAGTCAAAACAAAATATCTTTACTTTCACCAGGTGAAAATCTAAAGGCAGTCGTAAAATATTCTTCACAGTTGTGAAGAATATTTTACAACTGCTTTTATATCCAAATTTCTTTTGAGAATTCCTTAATCTGCACATTAAGGAGGGGACAGCTATCAAGATCTCATATGGGGCCCAAGGGTAGAATGCACTCCCTTTTGCTAATTTTTTTGAACAAATGAAATATCTAGACTGTTTCTTAAAAAATAAAATCTTAATGTTATTTTTATAGAGTAATAAAAAAAAAAAGTTGTAATTTATAGAGTTAGAAACCACTACAAGCCTCTGAGTTTCTTCCAAGTCTAGGGAAAATTCTTTAGTCTCAAGTTTCTAGATCTGGAGACCATGCTGAACATTTAATTTCCTTCGTCAATGCTTTCCACATTGTAAAGATGACAGACGTTTAAACTAAAGGTATTGGCCGATTGGATAAAATCTCCGAATTCCAGTTTGGGTTTGCATCCATCCAACAGACTGGCCGTACGGTGTTTTTTTGGTTTTCATCACTCATCCAACATCTAAATAGGAGCCAGTTTCTTACAGAAAAGTCTCCCCAAGGCACACTACCTATTTCTTAACCCTCCTATTTGATCCAAATGTATCGAACATATAAAACGTATTGTGATGTTAAATAGTTTTAAATGTGAATTTAAATGGTATTTGAGTAAGATTTATACTTCATTGTTCAATTTTAGTAAAAACATTACACTTGGTAGGAGGTAAGTTTCTTATATAGGAGATGATATTAGATATTATTAATTTAATTACATTGTTTATATTATAGATTTATAGAAGAAAATCGGAAGAGGACAAAAAAAGATATACCAATGAAATGGAAAACTGGAAGTCAAAAATGTTAAATGAAGGCTTCATAGATATTTTAAATATATTAAACAAGAAGTCATAGTAAATGTACTCACTAAATTAAAATTTTAAAAAAATCAAGTAGATATAATTAAAAACACACTTATAAATGCACATTAACAGCGAAGGGATTATTTATTTTTTAATTTTAGTATTCAGCAAGCTACTTGTTGCCAAAATAAACTTTTATTTATATATTGTGTTTTTGGATAAGTGTTTTAAAGGGACAAATAGAGCAAAAATAATTTATGCTTCTTGAATATTATTATTTACATTTTTTTTTATTGTTTTATAGTAATATCTACTGAAAATCCAAGCAGGTTTTCATATGAAATAGTGTAAATATCCAAATGCTGGAGTTCTTTGGACTATATTTTGGCTCGCATTTAATTATCAGAACTAAGAGTACGTGACTAGACAGATATTGAAATATTTTTGGTGAGTGCAAATTCTTTAATTTTTAAAATAATTATTTTTTTTTTGAATAATCTAAAGATGACGAGCTTAACTTTAGGATGGGGTTTAGTAATGCAAAATTCTTGCAAAATCTAATTATGCTCCAATCACAAGCTTGTTTCTAACTAATTCCTAGCTCTTCCCCCTGCTGAGGTCTGCTGTTGTTGCTATTTACCTCTATGTGCCTAGTATAAATGTATAGGGACTTCCAAGAAAGAATGCTGCTATTTTAAATTATTGTCAAAGATATAAAAGATACGGTACTGAATAAAATGTGTCAAGAGTCTGATTTAGATTTATTTCACAGTGAAGTGATTAGTGAAAACAATATACATTAAAACATGGGCAAATGTGAAACTCGGATGGTTTTCCAATTATAATTTCTCAGCACGTGCAGCATGCATCTAACCTGATACTCAAATTCTTCCTATGTTTGCTCTGGCATATTCATCTTGTAATCTGCAGGAGCCAAAGAATTATGGCTGCCGCAGGAGTATTGTGTTGCGCGAGCAATTCTGACTGCAAAGTGGCTTCTCTGTCACAGAACTGCACTTTCTAGAAGCAGTAAATGGTGAGACATTTGTATGCAGACCGGAGACGGATTACTCTGTCAATTGGTGTAAATTGCATACTTCTCCTGATAAGAATTAACACGATTACAGTAATTTAAAACGGTAGCATTCATTTTGGAACACACTAATTGTTCATTCATCCGTCTCAGTCAAAACCACCTCTTCCATCATTTTAAACTGGTCCAAACTCTGAACACCATGCAGAGATATTTAGAGCAATTCTCTCCATCCTTCAAGAAAATTGCAAGGAAGTACAGTGGAACCCTGGGTAACGAACTTAATCCGTTCCGCGACTCCGTTCGTTAACTGAATTGTTTGTTAACCGAAGCAATTTTTCCCATAGAAATTAATGCAAATGCAATTAATCCATTCTAATCTTCGAAATTTTTGTGATTTTATTTGTAATATACAGTAATTTTCTTTGATGAAAATGTAGGAAAACGCAGTATCTATCATTACAGCAACAAACATGTAAACTTTGTTTAATAAAATAGCACTGTACATACCTTCGTTTGTTGTAGTTGGTGGCAGAAAAGTGGAGATATATGAACCTTAATGCTTAGAAGGGGAATCCCCTCCAAAAAATTAACGGGTAGCACTTCATCGGAAGATTCTTCGAGTCGAAGTCTCTTTCGGTAAAAGAAACCCACCAGTGGCTAAGTGGTCTTCGTACCTTGAACACGGGGAGTTCGTTCGTGGGTTTGCACCTCGCTCAGACGGGCTTGCCACGTGGAGTTTTCCGGGTTTTCTCCACGTCTGTAATGCCTAAATAGGGGCCAGTTTCCCTTAAAAACACCTCCCAGAAGGCATTCCCCCTAGGCAGATCCCCAAAGTCAACACTTGGGCGATCTGCCTAGGGGGATATGTTTGTTAAATTATTGCGTTGCCATAACTTAACAAACAAACTCTTTCCGTAAGGAACAAGAAACTGATCTAAAGTTAATTGTCTTACTCTTTAAATCATAATTTTTCTCAAATGCGATAGCGCGTTGTCGTTTTCTATTGCCACTATGCCCTTTTTTTTTCTTGAATGGCATATTGATTAAATATATAAATCACAAAACTGAAAAAAGAAGTATAGCACAAACACTCGGAAAAGCAATGCTTAACTCGCGCATGCCTAACACCAACTAAAATTTGACACAAAATACCGTTACGTTCGTTATCCGAGACAAAATTTTTGCAAAATAAAAGTTCGTTAACCGATTTGGTCGTTAACCAGGACGTTCGTTAACCGGGGTTCCACTGTATTCAGGAGAAATGCAATCTTATTGGTTGCTCAAAGCCAATGAGAGTTCAGCTTGCTTTTAAAAATAGAAGGGAATTCAATCCCACATGACATGGGAATGATTGTTTACTTACCGATTCACCAAGCCCCCAAGTAAATCGCTAGTGCAGTAACTTTCACATTCCGAGTTAAAATTTAAAAATTACCTGCAACATTTAGGAAATTTGCAAATGTGGGGTCCACAGAGGGACGATGTTATCAGATATTACTGTATATTGAATTATTTAATTGATGTTAAATAGAAATTTCTTATGCATTTCGAGCATTTACATCCCTCCAGTGAAATCTATCTATCATGTTGTGTGGTTTCCTGAATGAAAGAATACAAGTTTTACAAAAATTGGTTAGTTTTTGTGTTATTTTGTAACTATAATTTATATCATTCCATATTAATTTTTTATAATTGTAATTGTGCAATTGTATAGACCAGGGGTGGCCAACCTTTTTAGCAGGCGGGCCAAATTTCAGAAATAATATTTCCTGCCGGGCCACGCACCTAATTTTTTTTTGTTAATTTAAGTAAACAAGCAAGCGTGCTACAGCTTCAACCACATCGTTGCTTTCCAGTAGGTGAGATCGTGGTTAAACACTTGCCTGGTTTAATGTAAATAAACACTAAAAAATAGGTATATTTATTNGCCAACCTTTTTAGCAGGCGGGCCAAATTTCAGAAATAATATTTCCTGCCGGGCCACGCACCTAATTTTTTTTTGTTAATTTAAGTAAACAAGCAAGCGTGCTACAGCTTCAACCACATCGTTGCTTTCCAGTAGGTGAGATCGTGGTTAAACACTTGCCTGGTTTAATGTAAATAAACACTAAAAAATAGGTATATTTATTTTTTTTGAAGAAAATTAAACATAATTGAGAATCACTTATTCAATAACCGAGAAACATATTTATTAGACAATTAAAAATATTTAATAATGAGACATCTGACTTTGTTTTAAAGAACTAAGTGCATCAAAATTGATCTCGACTAATGTTGTCGCTAAACGCAAACAATTTTCCAAATGAACATCAGTAATTCGTGTTCTCACTTGTGATTTGATGTACTTCATGCGACTAAAAAGTTGTTCACACGCGTAAGTGTTTCTAAATAGTAAAACCATCGACAGAGCATGTTTGTAAAACGCAGGATATTTATCCTTGTCCAAATACATTTCATAGAATTCTTCCAAACCTTCTTAACTCTTCTAATGTTCATTTGGTGATATGTACAATAAAGTTAACATTTACGTTCATTTGACCAAGCTCCGAGGGCCGCAACACGACTCCAGGCGGGCCGCATGCGGCCCGCAGGCCTCATGTTGGCCACCCTTGGTATAGACTCAAATTGCTGTCAGATCACAGATAATATGCTATTTTGCAATTCTTGTATACAAGGTAACTACTGACTTAACTCTATAGGGGTAAGTTAGTGGATACCATGTGTACAAGAAGCAATCTCCTTGTCTTAAAATCATACATGAGTGGCACTAGAAAAAGAGCCATAGAAGTGGTTAACATGTCTTGCAGTCTTTCTCCACTTATTTCCAAGTGTTTGCTGAAAGCCTGTATTAAGTCCATTTGAAAGGTATCTTGTGAACATCCATGTATCCATTATGACTCTGCACAGGTTCTTGCTTAAGTAATTGCAAGATATAAGTACAGGAAATTAAGTCAACTAACACACTCCAAGGTACCTTTTCCATTGATATCCTTGGCTGGATTGAGGAATAACCACAGTTTGGAACATGGTAATATATTCTGACAGTGAATTTTCATCTTTCTGGGAAGATAAATCATATTGTTCAGATTTGGAATTTTGAAAATCCTTGTTTTGTATGAGAACATATCAGAGGTAGTCTGACAGTTGATGTGGATTAATGAAGAACCAAATAGTTGAACTGTTGTTGTTCACTTCTAATGGATGCAAGGATATATTAAACAAGTAGCAGTCCAACATCACCTTCCAACAAGATGGAACCCTCGTACTAAAGTTTGATTCCAGACCACTCAATCGTCCAGATTGTCAGATTTGCCAAGGCAGCTCAATGCTCAACCCTCAACCCACCCACTCGCCTGACTCTGGAGTATGCCAAGGATCATGTGTGTGTTACAAAAGTGTGACACAAGCCCCACATACAAGAATCACGGATGACATTAACAGTGTGGCTCCTGATATGTTGGCTCAGACATTGATTGAAATCAAATACAGACTGGATACCATATAGAAATAAATACCCATTAATGAATATTATACCATGAAAAGCAAATATCAAATATGAAGTTTCCTTGCTTCTGTATTTGGTCCTACCTGGCATTATGTTGTGCTTTGGTAAAATTTTTATGCCATTCTTGTGAACTGGTTTGTCCATGTATTCTGGAAAGCACAATTTTCTTTACTCTTCATACTTGTTCATAAATGGAGGTTTGGTGAAATTTACCAAAATTGTCAGTCTTTCTTCATTGCTTCCAAATCAATGGGTACATAACAGTATGCATCAAATGGTGCATTGTTGAACTGTGATGTATTAAGATATGTGTATATCTTAATATATTCACAGATGAGTTTGTTGGTGCAGCAACTGATGTGCATTGCATTTGTCAGGCTCTGGATATGGCGAGCTCTGACGAAGCATAATGGCCACCTCCACAGTTATATTATTAACACCGTTTTTGCTACTCTTCCATAATGTGAGGGGGACAAAAAGGGGGAATCGTTAATTCCCTGTTCAAATAGCAAAGGGTCTTTTTGCACGTGGGTGGTGGTGACGACGGAGGCACAGATATGAGGTACCTTTACAAGAGAAACCCTTTTAGTTTAAACTAAGAAGGTTGCTTACGTCAGTGGACACTAAGTTCCTTCAGTGAGCATTATGTTCATTTCACTTGATGTGTGTCTTCTGGTGAGGAGAGTTGAGACAATAGTCCCAGAGCAGTGATGAGACAGTGATTGTTAGGATGAATCTTGAAAGTAAAGGTGCTTCAGATAGAGGGGGGAAATTGTCAGTGACTGGGAGTGATAACAATTTCACTCTGGCAACCTAGAATTGTCAGATGACACAGGTTTAGAAGTACTACCTGATTCAACAATCAGGTAGTACTTCTAACTTTGTATCTAGCTGTTCAGACTTTGTGCACACCTGTCTTTTAAAGTTTGGGGGTTTTATATAATTCATTCCCCAAACCTCTCCTATTGGTTCCGAGATTTACTTGTTACTTTCCGATTGATCCTGTCTCCCATTTCCATATGAAACAAGATCGATTCAAGTCCTAGGAAAAAGTCTATCTGAGACGAACTCATCCAACACCTTTCCCATATACACATCAGAGATGTCATTAGAACTAGAATAGAATTATAAGTGCAGGTTTCCTATCATTCCTTTTTTGTTAGTCTGTTTCCTTCCGATTTAATTGAACTCCATTTATGGCATGCAAGCACCAGTGTCAAAGTTGACTCCCCATCTTAACACCAATCGGTAACTTAATATGCATCTGAGTCACACTGTGACTTGCTCATTTCTTTGCAAAAAATCATTTCTAACATCTAATATTTTTCTTACATTCATTCTTTAAAAAAATACTTTTTAACATGAATTTTGTGACAGTTCAGATCTGTTTGGGACCTCACAATATTAACCCAAAATTTTGTGACAAAATAAGCCTGCAAATGCCAATATGGTGCAGCATGCTTACACCATCTTGATATATTGCCAGACATCCCAGTAAAAGTTTAATAAACTGTTCACAAAGGCATTGGTTGTTATGGCCTATTGGCTTGCAACATGTCATTCTTAACCTCAACACAACCCATTTTTCATATATGTGTGTGTGGTCTATGAAAAATGAATTCCTGAAGCAGAAACAATACACTGCTCAACACAGGTTTTATGTACATGTTTAACTTAATTAAACATATGTAAGACAGTAATTTGAAGTATGCTGGTGTAATACTAATTTTAACATTTGAAATTTATAATTAAACTTTATATATTCGGAAAGAATGCGTCATTTCTGAAGCAAATGATACGATACAATCAAACCTCAATTTAGCATGCCATTTTCAGCATAGAACTCGATACTACATGCAAGAGTTGCGTGTAGTAACGAGTTCTACACTCGAGTTGCAATGTTCGTATTGCAAAACCACACGTTTAGTAAATCACAGATGCTGAAAGGTTCTCTAATATTTACAAGGAAAATTTTCTGTAAGTATTTGTCAGCAACTTTTGGGAAGGCTTTACGTGGAGATTTGATTGTAAGGTATGTTGCAAAATATGAAGAGAAGCCACATATTTTTTACTCAAAAGTAATGACGACGCAACAACCAGTTTTTTAAAATAAATTTATTTTTTTTTAAACTAGATTCTAAAATAAGTAAATTAATCTAACTTGATAAACATTAAAAACATTCAAAATATCTCAAACTGTACAGTAGCATATTCCAAAAAATTTACAATTTTTTTCATATTCTTTTGTACCATTTCAGCATTCAGATAATCATCAAGCACATTGCATATACATTTTATTTATATTATTTTTGTATTTGTGTCTGTGTGTAAATATATAACGTATATAAACATATGTACTAATTTTATATACACAAGGAAATTTTTCGAAACCACAAAAATAAGATCTCGATTTCGAATTCTATGGTACGACGCTTTGGCTTAAATTAATCCGAATGCTGTCAGAAAATATAATTTAATCCTTAGTGTGGAACGAGAGACATTGTAAGTGGGGGTTTTCTTAATGTGTGACGTGTTTTAGCTGCAACATAGAGAATCAAATGATCAAATTAACCTGAGAAAACGTGCGGAGGTAGGAAGATAAATTGCGATCAAGCCGATCCGTCAGAAAGAGTACTAATTGATTGTTTTGACAGTGTTCAGTCCTCACTATTAAGAGTTAGTGATAACTGACTAGCGTCGAGTAAGACAAAGATTTTTATGTCCACTTCACGCCAATTGCATATTACGAGGAGCACGTGATTTTAAGAACAAACAAACAAACAAAACATTTATTGTTTTCAGCTGTTTTGGAGCCATGCTTTATTACAGTTTTCGATACCAAACATTCCCTGTACATACACATAAAAATCTAATCGTCAATATACATTCGAGCACGTCCGACCGGCCTGCCGCAATTCTCTCTTCCTGGAGACTGAAGCCAAAAATGGCCGAAGAAACGTCTTGTGCATACATAAGTGTAATTTCAAAAAGGGACAAGATCACATTGTTTGGAAGGACTGAACACTTTCAATTAGGGAAGATTAAATACTGTGTATATAGTCTTTAAGAAAATAACAAAATCTTAGATTCTTGCTCTGATATTCATTATTATTGTTCGTGTTATTCAATCACTTGTTTCTTTTCTTTTTTTTTTTTTTTAAATGTCCTGAGCTGAAGAACTGCAATTCCCATTCCTTTAAAATTTCGGCCCGACACGTCGTGACCGGCAACGCATTCAGTCCGTAAGAGATGGGAGAGGCAATGCCGAGATATCATCCGTGGCGACGCTGGCATTTGGCACTATGCTGCTTTAAATACAAATGAAATCAGGTAGTCGACATGCACGTGCACACACATACAAACATGCACACACATGTACATAAGAAAATTTTTTTGTTTTAATTTAATCTTGTCCCAAATTTCTTTTGGCTTTTAACCATTCCACAAATTCATCTAGTAAAACTGGCCCTGGAAAATATTTTAAATTTGCATTAAGTATTGAAAAAGAAAGCGACAGAAATAACGAAAAACCACTTACAAGCACCGTCTTCGTCGTAATTACTTAAATCTGAATTAATTGTTCTACTAAATTCCAAAACGTTACACCACTGATCTTTATTTATTACTTTATATTTAGATTGCTAAAAAACAAAAATCCAATTATAAATTTCTAATCTATGTAAAATTTAATGTTGAGCATATGTATGACATATATAAATATAGACTTTAATGTACGGTCGAATCTTTCCTTTTTTGGAGATTTCCCTGTGTTTTTAGTAAAAATGGTAAGTTAAATGGGAATTTTTATTTTATATTAACTTTTACTAACAGCACATTTCTCTAGAAGAATAAATAAAGATAGATTAGAGATGACAGAACCAATGCAATGACTTTATTCCATATGATGGTTCTATCAAATATCCAGTTTCTAATGGTTTTTCTGATAAAGGTCTAACTGACTTGACAAGATTAATTAAGAATTAATTAATTTGTAAGCTAGCACTTCATGCTTTGACAGAAAACCATTACCAATTGGACAATTTCCTCAAGGAAATTGGAAATTGTCCAATTGCATTTTTCCCCAACTTTTTTGATGTTACCAAATGAAACTCACAGTTATAAGGCTGTTCAATACCTTTTCTTATAAAATATGATTAATTTGTTTTCATTTTGATTAAACAATTCATGTATTGCTGCTTCAAAATGTTAAGCCTGCATGTGATAGACAATCTTCTTCACACCATCAACATACAATATTATATATTTACTCACTGTGAATTGTATTTATCATAAAATAATCATACTCTTCATTAATTATAGAATAAAATAAACCTTTAATATGCATTTGGGAGAACTGCAAAAAAAATGTTCTCAATCTCATTAGCTTCTGTGAGAATTATCTTTTTCTTTAGCTCTTTTGTCATTTCTGCAGCTATAAACTTCTCACTCCAGTCTTTCTCTTAGCTTGTAAACAGGGAGAAAAAAGGCATTATAGCTTCCTTTATCTCTACCATGCAATGTGAATTTCAGCCCAAACTATTTTCACATATAATCATGTCAGCTAGTATATTGAATATCGTGTAATTTCCAGTAAACTACAAATGTCTCTTTTGGTTTTCCATTAACCATTCTTTGTTGATGGAAAATCCACATTCCACACAAACATTACCATGGGACATATCTAAAATCATCTTCACAAATGTTTCAAATTCTTTCACTTCACCACATTGATTCTTTCCGGCTTAGTCTGTCACATCAAACCTGTACTGCTGTCTCAAGTAGTGTTTAACTGTGTCCCTAATTCCCAGGGAGGCAAAATATCTTTGTATTGCTTAGCAATTTTATCAGCTGTAAAATCATTTATCCAGTTATTATCCATAAGAGTTTCTAATGTAATATCTAGCAGTTTTTGTGCTTTCTCTAATCCTCGCATGACAGTACCTTGGCCATTTTGTATTTCAGTGGCAACAACTCAGAGGAAAGTCTTTTAAAATTTCTAATATCACTCTGTCAGTTACTTCCTTCATTCTAATTTTCCTATCTGATGGCATATCCAAGGTGTACTGTAATACTGTGCACAGATTCTCTGCTTTGCTGAGATCAACATCAGCAATGGAACACACAAAATCTTTTAATTTATGATCATGGGGTCAGAACAGACTTTTATTAAGGAAATAGTTTAAAAAAGTGACAGGTGTCGAGAAATTACCGAACGAGAAGTGACTATTAAAAGAAATGGAGGAATAGGAATGCATTCACCAAAAAACATCTCACCTCTCTGCATTAAATCAAGCTTATTGTCTTGTAACTGTGAAAATTATTTAATTAAAAGTTTTTACAGTTATGAAGTAAAATCAATTAACCATAGTCAAACTCTGTTCAAATTACAGTTAACAGGTTTAACATGCTATAATACCAGAAATTAGTATCATTTCTGGTATTATAGCATGTTAAATAATGTCACTTAACATGTTTCATTTCTGAAGTATAAATGAGAAGTGCACTTTGTCTCTCATCTTCTCAAAGTTGAAAAGGGTGCACATTTAAATAGAATAAATATAGTAACATCTTTCCAAAAGAGACTCTGACTTAGTTAAAATTGCAGGGTTTGGAACCAAAGTCATTATCATACATTGCAAGCATTGCTGATGGATTCTATGTACTATTTACTTGGTAAGAGCCTTTAAGAGCTATTGTGATCAGACCTCCTCTACCATCTCATTTCCAAAGAAAACTGATTAATGGCTAGGATTGCCAACTGCTTTTCAGTGAANCGTGTTTGATATTTATATTGATAATTCTATGGTGAAAAAATTATAATGTAAAGTTACTCCACTAGTATTTTTTGTATAAAAATAAACTATATTTTCATATTTATATTAAATCAGAATAGCACTTAAACTATTAACTCCAATAATCCAAATTAAAGCAAGAAGTAAGTAACCAAAAATGAACTACAACTATTAAAATTCTTATGCTACAACAATACCACTTGTCAAACAAATATTGAATTAATACTGAATTATTCTGCAGATAATTCAGTATTAATTTTAAAATAAAGCCATTACACTTGAATTTCCTTAGATATTCTTTTTATCACCGACTTGAAACTGAAACTCAATAATTCAAAGATCTCGGGCATTAATTACTCAGCCCAGCATTCATGTTATTGGTACATGCTACAGCATTGTTAGAGAATACATCAAGTTTGAACTGTAAATGGCAGACATGTTATTGTAATGAATAATTTATTAACAATTGATTTTAATATTTTAGGATGTGCACGTGATATTAATCACAAAAAATACTTTGGAATAATCCTACATGCCTCACTAGAATTATTTCATTACGAGGAAAACAAAGTGTAACAAATTTGAAAGATGTGTCGACTAAGTAACATAAAAAAAGTTAATTTTTAGTCTTATATATATATATAATATATAAATTTACTTACTCTAGCAAAATCATAAGCATATCTATATATGTTCTTGAATGTGACTGGTTCATTGAGCAAAGAACGGAGGTAGTCTAATTTTCCCTGAATTTTCTGCACTGTATCACATCTGAAAAAAAAACAAAATTCTTAAATTACTTTCATAAATTTAAAAATATTGTGATGGCCAGGATTTAAGAATGCTGAGATTCGAATATTTTTATTTGAATCCATCTACCAAAACGATTTTATAAAAGTTAGGGTTAACTCAAAAAGAGAAAAGCAACCAACAAATTTTCTCATAAAAAATCGATCTTCATCTTCTACAAGGAAGTATTTTCATGGGAATGGAGTTTTATGACTCTGTTCCCATGAAAATACTTCCTTGTAGAAGATGAGTTAACGGTTATGTCATAATTTTGTCACTTAACCCACCATTGGTCAAAGGAGATCATCACCCTTTGATGTACGTGGGGAAATCTCGAGAAGAGAGCCTCCACATAAAAGGCAAGTGCGATGATGACACGGGGAAAAAGGATTATTTTGTACTGTGAGCGTGTCTGTGGATTTTCTGCCTCTCGTCACCACCATCTTCGATAGACTTCCTATCTGAACTATTCTACGATTTTTGGACTTACGTCGAATCAACGAACTAGTTCAATGAGCCAAGGATCTGAACTCAAAGACCGTCAAGAAACTATCCTGTACGATTAGAGGTATTTATCCTACTCGTGATGATATGTAAGCTCTCTCTTGAGAACTTTCGAAACGCAGTTAGGATCACGACTATTATCTATTGTCAGCTACTTTTCCCGAATGGAATTACCTATACGGAATGTTAATCCAGAGAGAGATATGTGTTCTCGAACCCTTAATAATCTATAACCTTGTAAATATGTTCTACAATAAATGGGTATATTGTAATGAAATTGAATTGGTGTGTGTTCCTTCCTCCATTACCACCTCTATAGAGAACTGGAAACCACGAACGAGATCGCTCCTGTTAAATCGATCTCATGTAAAAGCATATCTATCCACTGATAAATTGATAGATTGGTGTCAGATCCTGACGTAAAACAAGCTCTAATGATCTTTAACTCTATAACCCTTCGCTCAACAGAACCCATCCTTTGGACAAGCAAGACCGGACCTCAAGGTCTTGAGTCGATTAAGAGGTAGGAGAGTCAAGAACTTGTAACATCCTACCCCCGATTAGTCTCACAATATATTTTAACTTTCCAAAGTAACAAACAATCTAAACCAACAGAAAAATGTATCGTCAGAATCAGATAGAATATGATATGTAACAAATGACAGCAAGACAATCAAGACGGTCTACCGCTGAGAATCCAGGATCAAATTGAGGCAATTGAAAAAGCCTGGGAATATTTTTGGTGACAGTATGTCGGGTCCCATCCTCCCCATCTGGCTGTCCCTAATTGTGGACCCAGTCAAACCACAGCAGGTACAATTTGAAAGATCCCCTTATGGCCACATTCACCAATAACATGTTAAATCAAAGCTGGCAAGTCTAGATTAAGAGTTACTTTATTTTTCATATTCACTAACTTTAACACTGGATGAAAAAATTTTCAAATTGAACAGACACACTCCAATTTGTCCAAGTGTGTATTGTGATGGGTCTGCAGGAATTGTCATGCGTAAACTAAACACATGATTTCAAAGTTTAGTAAACAACATATACTGATATTAAAGAAACTATACTAACCAAGACAAAAGTATTAGTGGGGATATAACCAGAAATTTCCAAGCATGGGTCACCTGCATTGTTAGCATGAGTTGACTTAGCATAGGTAGCCTATCTACCTATGCTAAGTCAACTCTGGCTAACAATACAGGTGTTACAGCATTGCTAGAGAAGAGGGACACGGGGCAGGAGGAACATATACCAGGCAGAGCTTCGTTCATAAATAAAATAACAAATATACAGCCATTATAATTCCACAGTAACTTATATTCTCCCACAAAATAGTATCTTGTGATGATTTAACTGTATATGTAAATCAACTGCTTATTCATCATTGCTAATTTTTAGCGAGTTGCTTAGAACTGTCATAAAAATTTAATACATCTGTATTGTTTTACAAAGAATTCAAATAGCACGTGCTTTAATCTGTAATTTGGAAATTATCTCATCAAAAGTGGCAAGTTAAATCAAGAATTAATGCATGGCAGATTCAGATTTTAACCAAACTCGCAACTTAAAATCTTGATCTGGATTTAACTTGAGGTAATAAATATGGCCATTAGAGTTCGTGGGACAGGGGGTCATATACCAGCCAGAGCTTATGTCCGTAAATAAAAATCTGAATGAAAAGTAAATCAAAATTATTTTATAATTAATTATAAAAATTACTTACTGTAAATTTGAAAGCCCTTTTAACCATTCTGATGCCGAAAAGAAACCCATTTGCTTTGCATCCATCTTCCAAGCTAACACCAGCATAACAATCTATAAAATATGTTATTTTAACAAAAATATTTGTTTTACTTGCTTCACTTCAAAAATAATTTTTTAAAAACTTACATTTTCCGGTTCCACTCCGATATCTTCGCAAAACTTCTCCATACCTTCCGGGCCAACGGTTTCCGGATCGTCGGCAGCTAAAACATAAATTTTACATAGTAATTATAAAAAGTAGAGTACATACTACCTGTACAGACTGGAAGTAACTAGCTGGAAGATGATGTAACTAGCAACTCCTAAGATATTTATTAACTTATCCAGTCAAATCATCACTGGGAGACATTGGGATGGAAATTTTTGTTATATTTTTAAAAAAATAATAACTCAATGTAGAACTGAATATTTGGCATTATTTGGTCAAATCATCTCATAGTTGGGGAGGGAGAAAAGAAATAAAATGGAAAGCACATTTAAAAACTCGGATATTTAGAAATTTTTTGTTTTGGAAAGGCATAAATAACAACTTTAATAAATGATCTCAGCAAACAATATTTATTAACGAGAATTATTTATTGTGGCATTGTCACAATGATGGGATGCAATTTTTTAGAACTTGATGCATGATGCTATTGATTTTAGCAGTGTCTTGCCCCTGTACATCATACTTTTCCTGTTAACAAGAGTGTCATGCCAGTCATCTATCTAACTCTATTCTGGAGAAAAAATGAAATAATGTAACTTCCTGTCCAAACCAGAAGTTCTTATATAGTTAATCAGGGTTTCCAGTTCCTAAGCATTCCATATCTGGTCTCAACTGAATTTATAAGTTCAAGCATGATAAAATTATAATGAAGAAACAATAATGCTGCTGCCTTCATAGGAAGAAAGCAGGAAATTTTGTTAGAGCTGCCAAACAAAAAGATCAGACCTCAACAATGGCATTTAAGTTTTTACTTTTCATCACTAATTTTTTTAAAATATAAATGTATATAATCTTTATTACAGAGTAGAAGATGCTGCTTTTCACCTTACTCTAAGCCAGCGATTTTCAAAATGGCCACTACGACCTCTTGGTAGAAGACAATGACTCAAGGGGGATGAAAATTCATTTTCAAACAAAGAATTATTTTTTTTGAACAGCCTGCCATTAATTATTTTTATGTTAATTAATCAAGTACTTTAAAAACTTTAATTTATGAAACTTTTGGACAATCATGTTCTTTGTTTATAAAATTATTGAAATTTAATTTTCAGTGTTTTTGACTTGTTTTATGGAGGTGCTAACAAAATACATGTAAAAGTTTGAAAAAATTCAAAAACATCACTAAGCCTTTTGTTTCATGCAGTTTCAATATAATAAAATTGGTTGATATTCAGCATTCAGCAAAAGTAACATCCAAATGAGTATCTGGCCAAAAAAACTGCTTGATCCATCCCTAAACTCTTGTCATTTTATGTCACCTGCAAGATGCATTTTATTTTGGCCAAGTAAAAAGCAGTAAGAGGAAGTCTTAGAAATGATGGCATCTTACGTATGCCATCTAAAACAATAATTAGAAGGTATCACAAGTAGGCCACACAAACTTTGGTCGAGTGTTAAATCTACGTGTATTCATTAAATTCCAACTCAACTCATTCTGGAGGTAGCCCTCCTTGTGCGTTATTCACCTTTCTCTTTTGACTGCATCGACCGTATCCATAAAAAAGATATACCCTGTGGGAAGTCACGTAACATGCTATTACGAAAGCTATTGCTTAGTAAACTAAATCATCCATCTTGCCAACAATAAATACAATACAACAGTCAAAAATTTGAAATCCCACTTTAGCATGAAGACATTGGCAACTTTTTAAGAGAAATTACTGTGCATGGATATGCTCGTAATTCCTCTTAAATCCATAAGAATAATGTGTAGTCTTTTAGATAAAAGATTCTACATAACAACTTTGAGAAAACGGTAATATCCTACTTTTAAATTTACGAAAAATAAATTATTACATGTACAAAAATTCATAAAATACTGATCAAATTATACTTTTAAAAGTAAATTTATGAAATCTTCAGTAAAAAATGCTTTTACACATTTCTAATTCTTACATGCATATTCTTGGAATAAGGCCATGCATCTCTTAGTTGAATAGCTTTGATCCAACTGTTCATTTGTTCTTGATCTTCTTACGCTGAAAACAAAAATTTTAATATTAATTTTTACTAAATTTTGCATCGTACTTAATGGTTATTTTAAATTAGAAGTAAAATTACCGCAATCTTTGAGAGAAAATATGCCAATTAAGGTAAGGGATCCAGTTACGGTCCACCAGTCGGCCATAATGGGGTCCCTTACCTTAGTTTTATAAAATTAAATTTTTAAATAGTCCCATAATTTCAGGAAATTGTGTCAATGTAAGATCAAAACACAATTTTCCAAGATGGACTCAAAAACAGCCTTCTTGTCCACAGAGTGGATAGAGTATTAGAAAATAACTGTATACAGTAATAATAAACGTGAATATTTAAATATGTACTGTACACAGAATACTAAAATATTACTTGATTAACTGCATAAAAATATGGTAATAGGTATTCAATATTTTTAACATTAAAGTAGTATATACACTTGACAAAATAAATTAATTTTAACATCAATTATGTCTGTCTGGTCGAATAAATTTGTCATTCTGCCAAGATGTCTCTGTGCAGCTTGGCAGCATAAAAACAAAAATGTGTTTCTTGATCCTTTCCTTAAGTGACTTTGAAGAATGGCTAAGACAGGTGAAATTCTAATCTAATTGCATAATGAATGGGAAAAGTAGGAACCTTTTCCACTTGTTCTTCACCCAAAGGAGACAAATTTGGATTTTTTTGAAGTACCTGTAAATATTTTTGTGTTTTAAATTAATTTGAGTATATTTACACCAAAAGACAATTGTATCGTCAGTTCTTAATTGTAAAGTTTGTTAGACATTACCATAATTTGGCACAAGTAACTGCACATAATTTTGGATACAAAGCTGTCAAACAACTTTGACCTTGTTTTAGAAATAGACTACACTAGTCACAAACAAGCACACTTTCTAGATGTTACTCTCCATTAAAATAATACATATATAAAATACATATTACAAATCCATAGGCATACCGTGGAACATTCAATGTAATAATGCCGCTAATAATAAATGAAATAATGGCCGAGCCAGTTTACATGATCTATTCATCTAATATATCTAATTATTATCTAATAAAGTTATATCAGTCTGGCCGTTTAACTAACTAACCCACTTGACCACTCGTCAACACAAAATGTTTGAGTAGAAGCAGACTTCTCAGAAAAACAAAATGGTACGACTGAAAGAGGACGTCAATTGTGCTACAGAAATAATCTGAAATCTCTGTGAAATATTTCAAGTACTATAAAGTATTAAAGTTCAATCACTGAAGTATCATAAACATGCTAAAGCATCCATCTAATTCGGCAGTTTTAAACCTTTCTGAGACCATGGAACACAATTAATTTACTTTTTATTATGCAGAGCATTAGCATCAATACATTCAAAAATCAATAGACATTTCCATGTTTACTATTCTCACAAAACAACGAAGCAATAAACTAATAAACTTTATTGTATTGAATAAAATAGAAATGTGGAATTGTATACAAATGAAGTAATATGCTGTAATAAATTTGCAATAAAAACTTTAAAAATTTTTTGTGGAACACTCATGATCGATGGAGCATGGATCGAGAATCACTGGTCTAGTCAGTCCATTGTAGTCCCAAATATCTATTTTCAGATATTTGTTCATTTGCTTTACCATTAGTTATTTTCTTTATTTTTATTTGCAGTTTAGTAAATATATATATAAAACTACTAGTAATATCATTTATATAAAGAGTTGAACTCTGTGTGTTGCAATTAATATCATCATAATGCAATGCAAAATGGAGTAATTGCCTAGCTTGTGGCAACTTTCCACAGTCACCCAACAAGAATCTCGTTGAACACACATGAAATCTGCTGCATTGTGCAATGCAATGAAGTTCACAAAAATGCACTTTCCACAGAGAACTTTTATTAATAGTGTTTGCATGCCAAGCAGGCTGATATTCCACAGGTCAAGATAGCAAAACACGATTCCATGCCCACCCAGATTAAGGCTCTGTGGTTTTAATATTGGCATGCAACATATGGTTTTAATACGTATTTGTATAATATGGATACTGTGAAATATAAGAGAGTGCCTGAAAATACGAACGTCTATTTACTTATGGATTGTCTCTATAGAGTGCAAACTGCAGAGTACAGTACAATACAATACATAGTAATACTTTACTGTATACTGAGAAAGATAACAACCCCTGGTTATTCAGAATTGTTATCTAAGGAATGCCATCAATTTAAAAGCCATAATCACAAAACAAAGTTGCAAATAATACAAAGGTTACTCTGAAAGTTTTGCAGTACAAGAAAACCATCTGCAATGAATTGAAGTGTTTATTTTTTTAATAATAAACTTTATATGACACATTACATATAAACAAATTTCATCAATCTCTCTTAATCTAAGTGAGACAGACCTCTCTCTAATAGTAGCAATATGGCTTGGAGATCTGGGGCAGTTCTGTAGACAAGGTTCACATTAAAAGGAAGTTACTTTCTGCTCAGAGCCTAGCAGCTATCTCAGTGGTAAAGGCCTACCGAACCACTCCCACTGATGCCATCCTTGTAATTGCGGATCTTCTACCAATTGACTTAGTTATCAAAAGTAAAGTATGGAAATTTCATCAATATAAACTTGCTAACAATAAAATTACCACTGAAAAGTATAACTCAATCACCAAAAAAAATAAAAGTCCATTCTGATGCCATTAATATTGCTAGTCTTATAGCTGATCGTGGCCTGGACCTGAAGCTGAAGCCAGTTCTTCAAGCGTTACATCCCAATTTCACCACTGAGCATCTTTTCTTCATGGATGGTTTCTGTGTCCCCACTGGCCTTTGTATCTATACGGATGGCTCTAAGTTGGATAGGGGGTGTGGGCTCCTCCATCGTGGTGGTCTACAGCAACATAAATGTCTATCAGGCCCAGTATATGCTGGCTCCTCACTGTAAGGCTAACCAAGCAGAATCACTGGCTATCAGGAATGCACTAAGATGGATCAGGAATAATGCCAACTCTAGGTACTACAATAAAGCAACCATTCTTACAGATAGTAGAGTCACCCTCCTTCAACTTAAAAACCTCAACATGAAACTCCCCATTGTCAGTGAAACTGTCCAAACCCTTCTTCTACTCATGAAGGATATAGACTTCAAATTTATATGGGTGAAGGGTCACTCCGGTTTTCCAGGGAACGAGAGGGCAGATCTACTGGCTCACTCCACCCCTGATAGGTTTAACCACTGAACTTACAGCAATGTTTCTCCCATCTGGTTCTCCAATTAGATTAGTCTGGCCTGCTGGAAGTACTGGTAGGAAAGGTGGAATGCCAGCTCCAAGGGGTAGGTTAACCCACCCGTGATTATTCCCGACGCTATAATCAGAAGGGACAACAAGCATCTGCTCCCCTCCTTCCATCTTACTCAATTGTTGACCAGTCACAGCAACTTTGGTTGTTACCTCTTGCAAGTTCTTCCATAAGGGCAATGGACAGTGCACTTGCTCTCTCAACGAGATGGAGGAACCATTCCATATTATCTACTGCTGTCTTCACTATATTTCTCAAAGGAGAAGTCTCATTAATATCATTCAGCATAATATCAATGATATTAAGCTCAAGACTTTTGTAAATAACAAGACCATCCACAGTGCCTTTACAGACTTTGCCCATAGCATCAATGTGCTGGGCTAATTGTCAGACTAGCCATTCCGGATTTATTGCTATGCCCTCATTGTTCAGTCTCCCATCTGTAATCTGGCACATTATCACTTCCACAGGGTTTTATCATCACATCGTCTAATTGGGCAACTATTCGTCACATGTCTTGCTTTTCAACTTTTTCGTAACATGCTTCTTTATTATAATTGTGTTGCCATTGCCCCGGTTCCTATGTTTTCTCTTTTCCCTCTTTACTATCTCACTTTATATTCCTCTTCTCTCTCACCTCTTCAACTTCACATTTTCCTTCCATTTCATCTGTAGTTGGGCTATACCTATGAGTGCGGCCCTTTAACCTTTCTATTGTATTGTAATAGTAGCAATAGAACTTTCTATAGAAGCGCTTCACACGATGATTTACTATGATTTTTGTGATAGACTAAATGACAAAGACTGAAATAAATAACTGAAATTGGCTTTTGGGGATGATGCTCCATCCTTTACTATTCAGGTGTGTTACAAAAAATTTCAGAGGTGTTGTATTTTCTTCCATGATGAACCACATGAAGGGCGACCATGAACAGCAGTGACTCCTAAAAATGTAACTGCTGTCCAACGTATGATTACATAAGATCAAAGAGGTACCTATGAGATGATACAGGAGAGACTATAGATTGGAGCCTCTGCAGTTACATACATTCTGCATAAGAAGTTACAGTTAAAAAAAGTAGTGTCTTGACGAGTTGACAGATTTCGAAAAGTCAGAGTGTCATGAATCTCTAAGAAAACTAGAAATGTTGAACCAAGATGGACACTAGATTATTTCTAAGATTGTCACAGGTGATACATACCATTTTATAACTGTCTCACATGTCAAGAAAGTCAAATATGGATCCATAAAGATGATCCAATTCCAACAACTGAGAAGGCAGAGAGCAATAAAAAGAAAAAGTCATGTTTGTTTTTTTTACAGTAGCACTGGTCTGGCAAAAGCAATTAAGCTTGATGAACAGAAGACAGTAACGGCTAATTGATACACTACAGTTTATCTTCCTAGAATTCTGGAGTCTCTGAAAATTTGAGGTCGAATTATCATGATGTGAAATTCAACCTCACACACTGTCAAGAAGGATGTTGATTTCCTTTAAGCTTATACTGTAATATAAGAATCATTCAACATCCACCATATTCATCAGATTTGGCATTGTGTGACTTCTGGCTATTTTTTAATTTCAAAACACATTTGAAGAGTTGCAAATTTAAAACACAGAGGATGAAACTGAAGCTTCCTTAACAGAGTATTTTGATAGCATTTCTGGAAAATGAGTGGCATCATGCTTTTGATCTTTGAAAGGAGCAAC